GCATGATATGACGGACTTGGCTACTTACTCCGTTCGCAACTTTTCTCTGATCAATATTAAGGTGAGAAGTACTCAAGTTTGGGGATTTAAGCTTCTACTTGTTATTGCACAGGATTGTTGTTAACTCAGTTTTCTGCAAACACAAGAAAAACAGATGTATTCCAACTCCTCAAATTTACTTTGAATATATTGCATGGCTATTTTTTAACCACTACCTCCTTGCCAAAATGGTTAGGTACTCGTGTCAAAATGGTTTGGTACCTGAACTGATATTACTGTTCAAAATATTATAAACCTAGTTGTAGAGTGCTTCCGATCACCCAGGACCTACACCGTGACAGCACCCCCCCCCCCCCTCCCCCCCCAAGCTGTAGGCAGCCCCAAAACTGCTCTTTCAGGGTACTAAAAAGACTTCACTCAAAAAGACTTAAAAGCTCAAAAGATACAGTAATTTTTGTTTTTAATATTAATATCAAGGTAGCAAAATATATTTGCATTTCATTGTTTGCACAGTATAGAACTTGTTTGATTTTCAGTCCCTGTTCTTCTTCACTGATGTGTTCCACATTCATTCTATCATTATGATTATTGGGTATCAGAAACCAGCAGAGAAACGGGAGGTTCGTCAGTTTCAGTTCACAGCCTGGCCTGATCATGGTGTTCCTGAGCATGCTACACAGGTTTCTGGCATTTGTTAGTCGCATCAAAGCCTGTAACCCTCCTGATGCTGGGCCAATTGTGGTCCATTGCAGGTAGGCAAAACACATGTAGCACTTGCTGCATTCAAATTGAGGACTGTCCTATAGGCAGCAGAATCCACCTCGCATTGATGCGTGTGTTATTGCTGACGCAAGCCAAGTAATTCAGACATAGCCACTAGTTGCTGATTCAGGCAGTGTCTTTTAACAAGAACATTTCAAGATTAGCACCTGTATTTCACTTCATTTAATCCTTTATGAATCAATATGAATCAATGAAACTGCACAGAGCTGGTGTGGTTGGGGAGGTAGATGCAAGTATTGCCTCAACGTTTACAGTGTTAGGTGGTACTTTTGAATGTTTCGCTGCTTGACACTACTAATTTAATAGCCCAAAAGACAGACTGGAGTAAAACTTTGTTTTAATGTGTAATCCTAGGTACATGACTCTCCTTTGCTGGCTTTTCTGTAAGTAACCTAGGAGAAGCATTCTCTGTGGGAAAATTGCTTGCCATCACATTGAACCATCGTTTGTGTTTGTAAAAATATATTTGGATTTTTTGGCAACAAGTTTTGAGTTTTTGGGTTTATTTTTTTTTGTATTTGTTTTTGCATGTATCTTCTTACAGTGCCGGAGTGGTCGCACTGGAGCCTTCATTGTAATCGACTCTATGTTGGAGAGGATCAAGCATGAGAAGACAGTGGATATCTATGGTCATGTCACCTGTCTCCGTGCACAGCGTAACTACATGGTACAGACTGAGGAGCAGTATATCTTCATCCATGAGGCTTTATTAGAGGCAGTGCTGAGTGGAAACACTGAAGTACCAGCAAGGAATCTTTATTCCCACATTCAGAACAAACTGACACAAACTGAGCCAGGAGAAACCATTACAGGAATGGAGAGCGAGTTCAAGGTGAGTATATCTTGATAACTAAGAGTTAAACAGGTTGCTTTTCCACTTGCTAAAAGGGAGCACGTTTTGTATTAAAACATGTTTCCTTGTAGACATGAGTGATATTTGGCATTGTCAGAGTAATAGTTGGAAATTCCTTGTTGCCATGCTAAATAAGCCATTTTTTGTGAGGAATTGGTTGGAAATTACAGTAATCCTGCAAAACAGACATTTAAAATAATTATTGGCTGTAATGTCAGCTTGAATGAAGGTTACGAAAACATACATGTAGTTAACTAGAGCTATGTCTGTTCAATGAACAGAACACAGGTTTTTTCAGCATGTAAAAAATATCTGTATATATATTTCAGAAACTATCTGTATTGACGACGTCATGCGCCAGACAAATTTCTCAAAATTGTAACATTTATCTGCCAAAAAAAGGGAATTTATCTTTAAAATTTATAATTTGATTTCTTATGACGTCATGATGATGTCAAACATTTGGCACATTTTTGTGCAAATATGTATGACCTGGCAGACTAATTACAAAAAGAGTTTTGAACTTGTTCAGTTCTTGAGATACGGCTTTAAAGTTCAAAAATTCATAAAAAAATCACACAATGACGTCATCATGACGTCACCTCAATTTTTACCAATACTTACCAAGTTTCAATCCAATCAAACTTTGAGTTCTCTAGATATAGGTATTTAAAATATGCACATTTCAGATGACGTCACTCTTTGGGACACAAGTGCACTGTGGGGTCTTTACATAGGTTCAGTTTCATGAGAATACAGGTTTGTGATACTTGTAGGTCAAAAATGCCAGGCTGAATAAAACATGTGCAAAGTCTATAGAGTTGGGTTAAACTCAACTGAATGAGACTTTCTAGAAAATTGTTTGCCGCCAAGTTTAAAATTGAAAATTAAACAGTTTTATTGATTCGAAAATTAAATCGCGGACTCAGATCGTACTCGATCTTACTAATCAGACAACGAGCAACAAATATAATCTAATTGCTACAGTAAAATGTTGCCTCTAAAGGGGGGCTGTGACATTAGGGAGACATGAAAATGTCTCTCTGATGACCGATGTCTCCCATCATGCAAAGAAATTACCATAACGTGTCTCCTTAATGGTACCATTACACGTATAATTATAATAATAATAGCAATTTGGGAGGCTAATCATCCTTACTAGCAGCTGGGATGCTGAATTGCGAAGGACGCAGCTACAATGTGATCGGGCCGCTGGCACGTAAAGGCGCCTATGGCTGCCGGCCACATCGACCCATATATGACCACGGAGCACAGCCTGAGATCAAAAGTGTTTGATTTTTCCGGAGGGAGGAAAACCAGAGGGCCCGGAGAAAAACCCTCGTATCACAGGAGAGAACCAACGCACAACTCTACTCACACGTGACCCACGGCCGGGATTTGAACCGGGGTCACCTTGGTGAGAGCCGAGCGCTTTACGCACAAGCCACCCATGCCACCCAGACTAATCAGACTAAAATTGGACGAAAAAAAGCAATTATTCGTACCTGACCAGCAAGGAAGTTACGACATCCCCATGAAATAATGGGCATTTGGTTTAATTAAAAAAATGAAAACAACCTCATTCACATAAAGACAAAAGCAAGAAAGGAAAGAAATATTTATAAAAGGATACTTGGCCAATATTACAATTTTAAAGGTGTTATTATGTAAACTTTGTCCACAAATAGTGCCCCCTAGCGTAAAACAATTGAACACCCCTCCCCCCCCCCCCCCACACACACACACACAGTCGTTTTTTGCTATGCTTCCGAGGATTGGCTTTGTGTTTTCCTTTGTTCCCTGATCTAAACCTTTCCATAGACTTAGTGCACAAACCTGCGTTCGAGGACAATAGGCACCCGTCGGATGAATGGCCCCTTGTGCTCCTTTTGTTGTCTGTCCTCGAGCGTAATACAATACAGGAACACACACGCACACACTTTGTACCAGATTCCTAAATTTGACTCGGCAAGGTATTATATACATGTAACTTAATTTTTGCCCTTACATTTTTACAAGCTGTAATAAAGGATATATCAAGCTTTTGAGTGTTGATGTTTTTTTTTTATGTTGTCTTTCATTGAACATGACAGCGTCTGGCCAATCAGAAGGCTCTGCCATCGAAGTTTGTGAGTGCAAATCTACCAGCCAACAAGTTTAAGAACCGATTGGTCAACATTCTTCCATGTATGTATTTTCCTGTCATCTCACCAAACCACTCTGAAACCATCACGTTGGGTGTTTCAGGAGCTAGTAAATGTAGGATTGACTCAGTCGACTTAACTTGAAAGGCACAACATGTATGCTGACATCACCTGCCAGCCCACAGGCCTAGCATCTGCCTGTAACTGTGCACGCGGTATCTGACACTATGCTGCTATGCAGTGGTCACTGGCAGTTCCTAATAAAAGCCTATTATGCATTGTACAGGCATATATGTGTGCGTTGTATACAAACACATTTATTGTTCACTCAGATTTGACAATAGTCATAAAAAACCCCAAAATTTAGCCATAGGCTTTATTTTACAAACTCTTTACATTTACAAAAACAATATTATGAAAACAAACAGTATTTACTTATGGATGAATGAAAGTTGATCAAGCACTAGCAAACCAACATTGATCCAGTCACTATATTGATAATGGCTGCATTGATAACAGAAGGATTGAGAATCAGTCTAAAACAGCAGGCCTGCTATAATGGAAAGGCCATAACAAATATTAAACAAAACAAAAAATGATCAGCAACAATTGTTTTAAATGATCTAACAGTGAAGATTTCAGAAACTTAATGCACAACCTTGATTGTTTTCTTTGTACATGTATATTTTCTTTTTGGCTCCCCTTGACACTTATACGCTATTATTTGTTAAAAAAAAAAAAAAGGGGGTATTTTTTTTTTAACTGGTTGTCACCAATGTAAGTCAGTCAGTGAAAATGAATGCAAGCTTTTTATGGTTCTGATTAGAGACAAGCTCACATTATTTCTTGTTGATTAGAAGGGAAAGTACATGTACACATAAACAAATGCCATCGCAGAAGTATAACAACCGATCATTGTTACACATAATTCGGTCTCTGGTCAGACCAAAGTTCCAGAATTGATGCAGCGATGCATTTTTTTTTCATGCTTGGATTGTACAGTACAGCCGTCACATGACACAATACCGAACGGTCTAAGAGTTTTCACTCCACAAACAACGGACACGAAATAAGTGGCATATTTTTTGTATTTAGACGCGCTTTAGTTCACAATCCCAATTGCTCACATCGCATGTCATCGTGTCGATACGCGACTAGCCGCCATTGTTGTTGATCAGCTGGCAGCAGCCTGTACCCATGGTCAACTATCATTCGTTCAACGTCAACCTTGTTCCGGATCTATCACTGGGTACGAGCTGCCCACGAACATTTGAGGCGGTGTGGCAATAGAGGGCGTTGTTGTAGCTAGCGCAGAAAATTTTGAAAAAAAACCCTAAAACATTGACGAGCACAATCAAAATAAACACGCGTGCTGACCAGACACCGATTTTTTTTGGGAGGGGGTGGCTTACAGCAATGTTCTACTGTATTTGTACATGTGCATGTAGTCACGTTATTTCACCATTTACTGTAGTGATTAAACTTTACCATAGAGCAAGGACCCAATGAGTCAGAACTCTTGGGCGGTTTACATTTTGACCATTAACATTCCAATCCCTCGGGAATGCCTATAGCTACAGCACTGTAACCTCAAGCCTTGCCATTCAAAGCGTGAATGCCAGCGGCCTTTGAACACCATGATCGTCGCCACCTTTTTAGTTGGTAACCAACAACCTCCCTATATGCTGCATAATAAGTCATGTCATGTCACTGCTCTTTTTTGAAAAATATATTTTTTGACAAGATAGGTTTTAACAACTGCGCAGTTGTTAGATGTGAGTTATGAATTCAAGTTATCGATGTGCAGTTGTTGGTCCTTGAAAGTGCTACCTGTCCCTGTAATTTAAAGATAAATTGGATTTTTTTTCAGATAAGTTATGTCTTTTCAGACATTTTAATGGGCAATATATCATTTATGAAATGTTATTTTTGGGGAAATTTCACAAGTTTTCAGACTTAAGGTATAGATCATTTGTTTGTCATGAAATGATTGTTTCAGTGATCAATGTTGACTACATTGATATACAGTATTATCCATCTGCGAACAAACACTTCCAAATCATTCATTCTTGGCGATGTATGACAACTGCGCATGCATACTTACCATGGTATTGTCTACAAAGCAAGGCAAACTCTTTTTTCTAGATTAGTGAGCGCGGATCTCTATTGTGTAGAGATTAGCGTGGTGAGCAACTGAGCAAGCTGGCTGCCAGGTGCTTTCTATTGTTGCTTCGAGCGCGGCGACCATCATTTTACTTTTGAAGTCTTGGAGTTCGAACTCCTTGGGTCCTAGCTCTATGAATTTACATACAACAACTCAGCTTACTGTAGTGTTTTACATTAAGTGCTGCTTTGCGTTCTTTAAAGCGGTATAGTGGTGATTTAAGTTTCAACAGGTATCAGTTTTCTGGTGCTCAATACCTCAGTTTACCGACACAAATCAGCTTGAATGAATAAGGAACAAATGTCTGTACTTTGTCTTATACCTTACCTTAAATTGCCATTTTATAATTGCATTGCCTTTGTGTTGTACATTATAGATGAATCAACTCGTGTCTGTTTGCAGCCAATACGTGGCGTTGAGGGTTCTGACTACATCAATGCAAGCCATATCGATGTAAGTAATACTCAAATCTGCATTTGCTTACATGTTAGGCTGAAACTTCTGGAATGGAGGCTAACCTTCAGGTCTATTGGATATAGTTGTTAATTATTTAATTTGTCAATTTGTCTCTTACTTCTACATTAATTTTTAGTTCCTTGCTTCATTGACATTTAGACTGTTTCTTTTGATTCATCTTTCATGTTCATGATGTTCTAGGTTTCCTCCATGTCTTTTGGTTGTTGTTGATTTATGATTAATGAATAAAAGACATGAATTAAAAAATATTGCGGGATTTCCATGAAGAACAGAGGGAAATACACATTTAGTTGACATGTTTTTATTTGATTTACCAATATTTTGACTTTTGGGTATTTTTCTTTTTGCCTCTGGAAAGAATAAAAACAAGAAAGTTGTGTTATCTGTTATTAATTTTAATAAGGTCTGAGTTTTCTCCTTGCTAACATACACACTTGATACAACAACAACTAGGACTTTTGGTTTGAAGTAACCAGCAGTGTCTCAGCGCCAGCAGTGTTCCCAATGGGAAGCCCTTTTATTCTCTTAATTTAAACATACTAAGGTTCTTAATACATTCAAATAGAAGAGTCTAATGTAAGAAAACTAATAAAATTAGTGTATTATCTCCCGCAATCACAAGTTATCATCCCATCCATGGCTGTGGATAAGACCCCCTTTACACAGGGCTGCGACATTTGGGCCTCCTTTGTGCGACCATAAAATTGGCCAGGTCACCGTTGGAGGCTCAAAAGAGGCTGAATGGTTGCCTAGGTCGTTCAAAGGTGGTATACAGGATGTTCAGACATCGCCATGGATGCCATGGTCGCGGTAAATTTGTGAACATGTTCAAAACAGTCGCACAAAGGTCACCGAGGAGGTTGGTTGCTCAAAGGTGGCTCACATGAGGCAGAAGGGAGGCACAAGCATTGCCGTGGTTGCAGAATGGATGCACAATGGTCGGCCAATGGTCGCAACATAATACATCCGTTCTGTTGCAACTTTTACCGTCAATCTGGGCGATGCTTCTGCCTCTCTTGTGTCTCAAGGGTCGCCTAGGAGACAGGAGCATGGCAGAATGGTTGACCAGTGATCGCCGTTAGTTGCCATTGGTCGCCGATGATGGCACAGAGGAGGCACAGAGGAGGCTCAATGGTTGCCCAAACATTGCTAGGGGGTCGCCTTTGTTGCCTATAATCGCATTGGTTGCCGTAGGTTGCACAGGGGAAGCACAGGGGAGGCAGGCAAGTGGCTCAGTGGACGCACAGGTCGCTCGTAGCTCGACATGAAAATGACCGAAAATTGCAGTTTTGGTAGTTCAAGGGAGGCACAATGTTTTTCTGGGTTAAGGCGACCGTTAAGTGTCCTGGCCATTTTTTGGTCGCTCATAGGTGGAACAAAGGTCCCAGTCCTGTGTAAAGGGGGCCTATTAAACTAACTATTTCCAATAAGAAACGTTATACACTCAACCAAAAAAGAAAGTCCCCCTCCCACTTATACTTTTTGGTATAACTCAAAAACTGCTGAGCACTTCTTGGTCAAATAATGACTAATCAGTGCAGAAATTCATTGGGCATCCAGCCATACTCCTTATTTGCTCCAAAACAACAGAAATATGTACAAATTTATGTCATTTATGACAAATGATGCCGAATAAAAGTTGCACTTTTGTATACGGGCAAGTTGTGAAAACATTCCGTTTCTAAAGCAATCCTTCAACACAAATTTCTTAAATAAAAATAATTTCAAATTTTGTTTGTTATTTTTTACTCTTTACTTTACTGCATACTGTTCGTGTTGTTCAAGGTTCAGTGAACAAATTAATGTTCAAATTAAATGTTTAATAATGGGTAGGTACATGCAACCTCTCTTTCAATTACTTCTCGGCACCGTCTGCGCATACTGTTTTGCCAGGTTCCGTGTACGTTGCTGTATACATTATAAAGTTTGCAAGACATCAATGCAGGTGGAATAGGCAGCGCTGGGCAAATGTCCTTTTTAGCGACGAATGCACCTCAAGACGGTAGACGGCAGAGTCTGATAGTGTGGAGGCGAGTGGGTGAAGGACAGCATAAGGACTGCGTTCAAGAGCTTGAACCATACCAAGGTGGAAGCGTCATGGTGTGGGCAGGAATTAGTACCCAAGAAAAATGCATCTTGTCATTGTGCCTGGTCGGCTTACAGCTCAATGTTCTGCCATATGCCACCACTGTTGGTGACAATTTGGTTTCCATGGACGATAAGGCAACCTCACACAAGTACCCGAGTAACAAACCAATTCCTTGAGAATGAAGGAATAGAGTATATGGATTGGCCGCCAAAGTCTCTGGATTGCAACCCGATTGAAAATCTGTGGTATTACATGAAGCTAGACACCAATAAACGAGTGAAGCCCAACACCACTCTACAAGGACTGCAACGTATCCTTCAACGCTGTTGGAATAATGTGTACCAGCAACGTATATGGAACTTGACAAACAGTATGCGCAGACGGTGCCGAGAAGTAATTGATAAAAGGGTAGACCAACCCATTATTAATTTAATGTGAACATTTTATTTGTTCACTGAACCTTGAAGAAAATGAAAGGTGTGCAGTAAAGGAAAGGGTGAAAAAATAACAAACAAAATTTGAAATTATTTTCAAGAACTTGTTGCTGGAAGATTGCATAAGAAACAAACTGTTCACACACAACTTTTCTGTATACAGAAGTGCAACTTTTTTCAGCATCATTTGTCATAATTGCTTAGTGTGTTACACATTATCTTTTTTTCTGGCCAAATAAAGAGTATGGCTGGATGCCTAAGGAATTTCTGTACTGACTAGTTGTATTTGACCAAGTGCTCAGCAGTTTTTGAGTTATACCAAAAAGTAGTGGGGGGAACTTTCTTTTTTGGTTGAGAGTATCTTCATGCTTATACCATCAGTACTGCCAAGTTAACATTTGTAAAACTCTGCTAAACAAATTAGTGTATCTTTATGATGTGTATTGAACATATACCCACACAGGAAGTAGGAAAATTGCTGTTAACATGCTAATAATTTATCAAGCCAGTATGATATTTTTCTGTTTGTTTATGGTGTAATTCTTCAGGGCTATAAGCAGAAGAGTTCGTATGTTGCTACCCAAGGGCCCCTTGCAGAGACCACTGAAGACTTTTGGCGTATGCTGTGGGAGCAGAATTCAACCATTATTGTCATGCTGACCAAGTTGAGGGAAATGGGACGGGTAAGTATATGTACATACAGCAAGTGTGTATTAAAATATCCCCCAAAAAACATTTGTATCCTCTCTATTTTCTGCGTTTTGATTGAAATTGCATTGAGCTACTAGACTTAATGGTCCGAAATGTATGCAACTTTTTGATTCACATTATTTTTAACTCTGGCATGAGCTTCTACATGTCTGTCCCCGAAAATTGACCAAAAGAATAGACTAATTGACCAAATGCCATGCCGTGTTCATAAAATGCACTCTTGTTGACGATTTTTGGAACCGCCATTTTGTTTCGATCGATGTATGCACATTTATTTTGCATATATGTCTGCCCCCAAAAATTGACCAAAATAGCCCCATAAGTTTCCCCCAAAATATAACTACCAGATCTTAATTTTCAAAAAAAGGCAAACAAAATCAATTCAGTGCTTTGGAAAGATGTTTATGAAAAGTTTGTAATGGAGGCAACATATGTGCAGTAATGTTATAGTCACATGGTATTTATCACAAATTGCTATAAATCTAGGTAAACATCTGAAGTATGATGTTCCATATGTGCAATCCGCGTCACACTTTTGGGCGTTGCATTTTTAAGCTCTGGCAGGGATCATTTTGATAGATTTTATGCAAGTCTTTCATTTAAAGATATAGTCCATCATTTGTAATTTGTGCATTTTGTTCGTTTGAAGCAACAAAAGTGTTCAAAATCTAATGAAGGATACTGAACAACTAACCTGATGAAGTTTCAGCTCAGCTTCAGCTGTATATTCCGAGAAAAACAGCATTCTAGGATCTCAATTTCAAATCAAAAGTTGCTGAATCATGTTTTGAATTGGGCCTGAATTCAGCGTCCGAGACACGTTCTCACTGAGCCGATTGCAGCTACGCGATGTTGCGCACTGATCCGACGAATTATAGGAACCGCGCGCGCGTGTGCGTCGTGCCAATGCTTGCACGCTTTTCGCCGAATAACAAAACAAACTACTAATTTAAATTTTCCTACGGTGCGTCTTAAGACGCACCGTTGGAAAGGCCTTCTTTCGTTGATTACTTCAAAATGACAGCTTGCAAGAAAGAACAATTTCACAGGGAGTTTAGTCCACTTACTATCTTTCAACCAAGTATGTTTCTCAACAATAATTACGCCAGTTACTTTTCGGATTGCTGCGAATGATGGACTATAGCTTTAACCCTAACTCCCAAGCATAATTTACTAGGAACCATACCCATCCAGGCAAATTCCAACACCCACATGGGAAATCATACACACACACACTGTTGGACTTAGTTTCTTTCTGGAGATATGCCAAACCCAGTGTAAAAGACCATCAGTTCAGGGGTACTGTACCTATTCTAACAGATTTCAACAACATCTGCTGTTGGACATGGGTTGAGTTCGGTTAGGGTTAAGACGGCCAGAGCTTATTGTGCACTCGCACTTGTTTTGTTTCATCTCTTTTTCACCGAACTAAGCATGACCAAAATAAAATTGATAAAATTGATGCAGAGTCATGCAGAAAGTAGCACTTGCATCAGGTGGTACTTATATCGAGTGACAAGTCATAAGATTCTCTTGCATTGATTCTGTCAACATGTTGATCCTTGTTAATCGTTCAGGAGAAGTGTCATCAGTACTGGCCCGCTGAACGGTCTGCTAGATACCAGTACTTCGTTGTTGATCCAATGTCTGAGTACAATATGCCACAGTACATCTTACGGGAATTTAAGGTCACTGATGCTCGGGTAAGTTCATGACTATTCTTGTAAACTGACCAATTGACCAATGCTTCATGTCACACCGCCAGATTCATGACCTCTTGATTCAATTTGTATAAAATTAATACATGTTTCAATATAAAAGTACAGTAAATAATGTAATTGCTACTCAATTTTGTCATCATCAGCGCTATTAAATCAAGCACCAATTCTCAATGAAACAATAGATTCATAAAAGAATATTTTTCAGTACAAAATCTAACATCATAGCACACATTTTGAAAATATTAATGATATTGAGGTTTGATTTTTGTTTTCATACGGAACATGCAATATGTTTGTTGGCTGTTTCGGCAACCGGCCGAAACAGCCTTTGTTTTTGTTCAGATTTTTTGGCTTTTTCGCAAAATTTGCGAAAAAGCCTTTCTTTTTGTTCTGATTTTTTTTTTTTTTTTTTTTTGGCGCCAAAAATCCCATAGACTTTGTACACAATTTTTCTCTGCAGCACTTTGGATATCAATCTTTGTCAGACATCATTCAAAGTTGGCATAAGCATAGTCCCTATTGCAAAGATGTGTCCTGAAGATTGATGTCATGGTGACGTCATGACTAATTTATTATAGATTTTTGAATATTTAATTTTTCCCATAGACTTTGTACACAGAAATTTGGAAAAAATGGTCGATTTTCAAAGGGCATTTTTGACTCTTTGCCAGTAATTCATTTGCACCAATCTTTGTCCAAGCAAAGACCCTAATTCAAACAATATTGTGTAATGATGACGTCATGATGACGTCATCCGGTGTGTATTTATAGGCAATTAAATTGTGACACTTTTAATATTTAAAAATACATAAGAAATCAACCGTATGCGTCCGCAGCATTCTACTACCGGCAAGTGGTAGAGTAGGTTGAGGTCTTTATTTCATTTAGTGTGCGTGAAATCACGTGACCTTTGCTTCCGGTCGAAAAAGGCCAAAACTGGAAGTGGCTTATTATTTGAAAATGGTAATGTGGCGAAGTTTGTTGGTTTATTGGTGTATATAATGACCTTGACCCACTTAAGACGTGTGCGAAGTTTTAGGCGAATGACGTCATCAGACCGGAAGTTATAACAAAAAGACCCGTTTTCATTTGAAAATTCCTGAAAAATCAACCATAGCAGTTTTTACGTTAGTTTTTACTTTAATTGTCGATTTAAGGGTAGGTCCAAAACATTTCAAAGCTTCGAGGCAATAGGGGAATTCGGACATGCCCTGCGCACGCTTAAAACTTCAGGTTGACAATACCCCCGGTACCTCTGCTCTAAAACATGCACAGAACGTCGACTGTACGTTACGCACATACATCGTATGTCAGTCAGCCTGCAGAGCACGTGTTGCCGAGGTCAAATCCTGTCCACATCACAGTGACCGTTTTAGCCGATTTTCGGGTAACTTTGACAGATTTTATGTTCATGCATGCGCATAGTCAGGGACTTATAATAAAAAAATCATAATGCTGAAAAGCCATGTGTTACGTATTTAAAGGTGCAGTTTTTCTGCAGTGGGATTTTCCACAAGTCTTTTCCTATACAACACTGATATCTTACTGAGTAGTTCTGAACTTCAGCCGAGAATTACTATGAAAAGGAAAGAGAAATGGTATGTCATTCGATTGAACATATTCCTAAGTGTCAGAATATCAAGTAATATTTCATAAAAATGTTTCAGTTCAAAGGCAAATTACAAATTTAACGGTGCAATTTTTTGGCAGTGGGATTTTTTTTAGCCCGTTAACTTTGTACACGTGTTACTGTTAGACCATTGACTTTGTACAAGTATTCAAGCCACCATTTCTGTAACTTGGCGATCTGGAATCGTCATCAATGTTACAGCCAAGGAAGACCCTCATACAAAAATTATGCCAAGACTATGACGTCATGATGACATCATCACCTAATTTTTTTTTTTTGATTTTTGGAAATTTACGTGCATATTATGAAGTCCTATATCTACAGAACTGTAAGTCTGATTGGGTTGAAACTTGGTATGTGGCTAGACTGGGATGTGTTATAGGTAAAAAAAAAAAAATAGGTGACGCCATGATGACGTCATCCGGAGATTTTATATGAATATTTGAAGTTTTAGACCTTTTAGCCATATCTCATGAACGTAACATGCAAAATTAAATTTCTTGGTGTATTTGGTCTGTTAGGTAAAAGGTATTTGCACAACATTTTGACAAAAATATCTGACATCATTATGACGTCATAAAAATGCGATTTTTCAAAATACATATGAGGAAAGGTCTGACTGTCATGAAACTTAGTGGGTAGGTAAATAATGGTACTAGTATACAAAGTTTAAAGTCACATCACGATGACGTCGTCGTTTGGTTTTTATAATTTTTAGATATTTATAATTTTATTCTGCTTCCACAAATTGCACACTTTCTTTCATCGGATTGACTTTAACTTGGTTTAAACATAAATCACAATGACAAAATGTGCATTGAGAAGGGTCTTAAGGATGACGTCATTGCAGGGCAAGTGACATCATTTGATAAAATTATACTTTAGGAATTATTCTAAGCGTTTTGAACAACCTTTAACTGCATGAAGCACTTTGAAAAGTGACTGCAAAAGGACAAACGAAACAAATATTTGTAAAATGCGAAAAAGCCCTGTGTTCTGTTTGCAAACAGACATACAGCTCTAGTTTTATTTTTATATTTTTTATTTTTATTTTTCAGTCATTTTGCCCATTGCATTTGTACACGTTGTTTTGTCCAAGGCACTTTGGCCACTAAGATCAATCCGATTGACTTTATACTCGGCACACACTTAGAACAGCATCTGAAGATGTGTGCCGAACATTGACGTCATCATGACGTCATCACGTGACCCGTGACGTCACAATATAAGTGCATATTTTGAACGCCTATATCTCCATAACTACAAGTCCGATTGGGTTGAAACATGGTATGTACCTAAACCGGGATGTGTTATAGATGAAAATGTAAGCAACATCACGATGACGTCATCATGTGACATGTCACGTCATATTAAAAGTGCATATTTTGAAGGCCAATATCTACAGAACTACAGGTCTGATTGGGTTGTAACTTGGTATGTATCTAGACCGGGATGTGTTATAGATGAAAATTGAAGTGATGTCACGATGACGTCATCACATGACATGTGACGTCATATTTAAAATGCATATTTTGAAGGTCTATATCTACAGAACTACATGTTCGATTGGGTTGAAAGTTGGTATGTACCAAGACCGGGATGTGTTATAGATGAAACTTGACGTGATGTCACGATGACGTCATCATGTGACATGTGACGTCATATTAAAAAAGCATATTTTGAAGGCCATATCTACAGAACTACAGGTCTGATTGGGTTGAAAGTTGGCATGTACCTAGACCGGGATGTGTTACAGATGAAAATTGAAGTGACGTCATGATGACGTCATCAATGGTTGCATGATGCTTTCCAAGAATAACCTGCCTAACACTATCTGTTCAATGTTTTGTAAAAATCAGGATGTTCACCGTCATTTTACTAGGCGTTATCATGATATTCACCAGACCTGGGCTCGTACAACTTAAACTCAAAAAACTGTTAAACATGAAGGCCCCAAGCTGTGGAATTCTCTCCATCCGTCTCTTAAAAAGGTGTTAAATGTGTCATTATTTAAACGCAAATACAAAACCCAATTAATTAACAAATATGTGGTAGAATAATCCCATTTTGTAAGACCAAATAACTCTAGTTTTATTTCGTATTACTAGCTCAGTACCAATATGTTTTTGTCATTTAACTCCTATCGTTGTACTTGTACTTGTAATTAATTGTAATTGTAATTGTAATTGTAATTGTTCTTTATTACAGTGGGGGTCTCCACTCGACAAGCTTATGCTTTTTGGAGACCTCCATCCAGCCATACACAATAATTCAAATGTTAAGTAATATTATTATGTACTTGTATGCGTTGGGAAAATTAAAGATTTGATTGATTGATTGATGTCACGTTAAAGATTAATAGATGCAATCTTTGAAAATCAATATAAAATCAACTGTGAGAGACCTGAACTTGACGTTTGCGGGAATGGATGGAATAATCCAGCTTCATTTTTGATATTACGTGCAAAATCGCGTGACCCTTCCTTCCAGTTGAAACCGGAAGTGCCTTGTAATTTAAAATTGGTGAAAGAAGTGAACTTGCTTTCAACGATGTATGCTTTGGCTAAGTTGTTTTTTTTTACAAAAACTAACGGTGACGTCATAAAATGTTAGAGCGCCCTCTAGCAGCAGGTTGTAATAGATGATTAGAGATGGAAATTGGTGTGACGTCATCATGACATCACGTGACATGTGACGTCATAATTCAAAGCCCTATGAGAATGTAATCACATATTTATATGCCACCATTTATTATAAACAGAACTACACATCCTTTCTGGATGGAACTTAAACTTGAAACTTTACATGTCACATGTCACAAAAAAAGTTACTGAAACAGCCCTGTATTTGTCCACAAACATAAGTCTAGTCTGTGTTTTTTTTGTTTTTAAATTACATGAAGTGTTTCATAGTTATGTGTTGGTTTGTGTTACATTTTGTAGGATGGACAGTCACGAACCATTCGTCAGTTTCAGTTTACTGACTGGCCAGATCAAGGGGTTCCCAAGTCAGGAGAAGGTTTCATTGACTTCATTGGCCAGGTTCACAAAACCAAGGAACAGTTTGGCCAGGATGGACCGATCACAGTTCATTGCAGGTATTTCTTATTTTAAACTTGGAAGACTTGACTAGACCCAAGAAGGGTGGAGCATAAGGCTATGTTATCAATTTGTGGATTGATCATTTGTGATCTACTCAGCAAAGTAATTTGACTTTGGTTTGACTTTAAGTCATTGAAAATATCCTGACAAGTGTTGTTTTTGTTATCATTATATCATGGACCTCCATGAAACTTTGGCTTGTTGTGTTCTAAGTAGATATCAATGATGGGATGGTTACGCCTCTTCAGCATGCGTACTAGGTTGCATCATAAGATGACCCTTGTTGGATTATTGGGAAAAGAAGCTCTCTCCATTCCATAATTAGGAGTGTTTTCTATTCATGACGTTGAGATCCTTTTACTTGCAGTGCTGGTGTTGGACGCACTGGTGTGTTTGTCACACTCAGTATTGTTCTTGAAAGAATGCGATTTGAGAGTGTTGTGGACATGTACCAGACAGTGAAGATCTTGCGAACTCAGCGTCCAGCTATGGTCCAGACAGAGGTATGTAGCAAATGCTCATAATTTTGATTTATAAATTGTGCAAAGTATTTGCCTAATTCTGTGATCATTCAGTTAACATATCTTCAGCTGTGTGGCAGAATTCTAGCCTATGTTATGTCATCCACCTTGTCTGTGTTTCTATTAGGTGGGCTGTCTGTTTATCTGTTGGCTGGCAGGCTGGCAGTCTGTTTGTCTTTTTTTTTGTCTTCTTTTTTCTGCTGTCAGTTGGATTAAGTGGTTGTTTATTTGATGTGCTGCAGTTGTGGTCATTATTATCCTGACCTTTCTTGCGAGATTGAAGTATCAGCATTTTCAATTGCATTATATCCCACTGCGTTATATCACCAAGAATGTGTTTGCCTTGGGTAAAGTACATTCATGTGTGATGTAAATTAGTGTAAAACAGATTTTGTTATGGATAATTTTCAGATCTTTGGCAGCGTAGAAATTCAAATGAATCAGAAATTAGAATATCTACAAGAATCCATTGAATAGTAGTGTTTCTTTATTGGCAATGAGGGCAGTATTGCACATCTGTGCAACCTGAACCAATGTATCAAGGTTGAGCAGGTCCCTCCAGCCGCAGTGCCCTGAGGGCTTTTGGGTTTTGGGCTGTTTCGGCAACCAGCCGAAACAGCCTTTGTTTTCGTTAAGATTTTTATTTTTGGCTGTTTCGGCAACCAGCCGAAACAGCCTTTGTTTTCGTTAAGATTTTTAACAGCCTTTGTTTTCGTTAAGATTTTTTTTTTTATTTGGCTGTTTCGGCACTTTTGCCGAAACAGCCTTTGTTTTCGTTAAGATTTTTTTTTTTTTTTTCTTTTTTTTTTCTTTTTTTTTCAGCCATTTTGCCCATAGCATTTGTACACGTTTTTTTGTCACCGGCACTTTGGGCACTAAAATCAATCCGATTGACTTTATACTTGGCACACACTTAGACCAGCATCTGAAGTTGTGTGCCGAACATTGACATCATCGTGACGTCATCATGAGTCACGTGACGTCACATTATATGCGATTTTTCTGTTGTGACCATTTTCTAGCAGAATTCGGCTAGATCTGACAGATTGGGCTATATCTCCAGAACTACGGTCCAATTAGGTTGAAAGTTGGTATGGACCTAAACCGGAAAGTGTTATAGATGAAAATTCAAAAGACGTCACGATGATGTCATCACGTGACATGTGACGTCACAATATAGGTGCATACTTTGAAGGCCTATATCTCCATGACTACAGGTCCGATTGGGTTGAAACTTGGTATGTACCTAAACCGGGATGTGTTATAGATGAAAATTTAAGTGACGTCACGATGACGTCATCACGTGACATGTGACGTCACAATATGAGTGCATATTTTGAAGGCCTATATCTCCATGACTACAGGTCCGATTGGGTTGAAACTTGGTATGTACCTAAACCGGGATGTTTTATAGATGAAAATTTAAGTGACGTTACGATGACGTCATCACGTGACATGTGACGTCGTCACGTGGCATGTGACGTCATATTCAAAATTGCATATTTTGAAGGCCAATATCTACAGAACTACAGGCCTGATTGGGTTGAAACTTGGTATGCACCTAAACTGGGATGTGTTTTAGATGGAAATTTAAGTGACGTCATGATGACGTCATCATATGACATGTGACGTAATATCAAATGTGCATATTTTCAAGGCCAATATCTACAGAACTACAGGTCTGATTGGGTTGAAACTTGGTATGTACTTAAACCGGAATGTGTTATAGATGAAAATTGAAGTGACGTCACGATGACATCATCACGTGACATGTGACGTCATACTAAACGTGCATATTTCGAAGGCCAATATCTACAGAACAACTGGTCCGATTGGATTGAAAGTTGGTATGTACCTAGACCGGGATGTGTTATAGATGAAAATTGAAGTGACGTCATGATGACGTCATCATGGGCTACGTGACGTCTCGTTAAAGATTAATAGATTTGATATTTAAAAATCACTATAAAATCAACTGTGACAGACCTGAACATGATTCTTGCGGGAACTGATAGAATTATCGAGGGTCTTTATTTTTTAAATATGTGCAAATAAATCACGTGACCCTTTCTTCTGGTTGAAACCGGAAGTGCTTTGTTATTTAAAATTGGTGAAAGACGTGAACTTGCTTTCAACGATGTTTGCTCTAGCTTAGTTGTTCTTTACCATACTATTATAGTAATAGATGAAACTTTATGTGATGTCATCATGACGTCATCACGTGACATGTGACGTCATAATTCAAAGCCCTATGAGAATAGAATCACATATTATATGCCACCATTTATTTTTAACAGAACTACACATCCTTCGTTGATGGATACATGTCACATGTCACAAAAAGCTACCGAAACAGCCCTATGTTTGTCCACAAACATATGTCTAGTTTTTTTTTTTTTTTTCTTTTTCAGTCATTTTGCCCATAGCATTTGTACACGTTTTTTTGTCACCGGCACTTTGGGCACTAAAATCAATCCGATTGACTTTATACTTGGCACACACTTAGACCAGCATCTGAAGTTGTGTGCCGAACATTGACGTCATGGTGACGTCATCGACTAATTTATTATAGTATTTGGAATATTTAATTTTTCCCATAGACTTTGTACACAGAAATCAAAAAAAATTGTCGATTTTCAAAGGGCATTTTTGACTCTTTGCCAGTAATTCATTTGCACCAATCTTTGTCCAAGCAAAGACCCTAATTCAAACAACATTGTGTAATGATGACGTCATGATGACGTCATCCGGTGTGTATTTATAGGCAATTAAATTGTGACACTTTTAATATTTAAAAATGCATAAGAAATCAACCGTACGCGTCCGCAGCATTCTGTTACCGGCAAGTGGTAGAGTAGGTTGAGGTCTTTATTTTATTCAGTGTGCGTGAAATCACGTGACCCTTGCTTCCGGTCGAAAAAGGCCAAAACCGGAAGTGGCTTATTATTTGAAAATGGTAATAGATATGAACTTGCTTTTAACGGTGTAAGTCTTTTGGCTAAAAGTATTCTTCAAATCATCTACCAATGACGTCATGCAATCTTCGAGCGCCCTCTAGCGACAGGTTGAAAATTAGCAAAAATGTATTTTGAATAGATGTCTGTGGCGAAGTTTGTCTGAATCGCCTAAATATTGGTGTATATGATGACCTTGACCCACTTAAGACGTGTGCGAAGTTTTAGGCGAATGACGTCATCAGACCGGAAGTTATAATAAAAATACCCTTTTTCATTTGAAAATTCCTGAAAAATCAACCATGGCAGTTTTTATGTTAGTTTTTACTTTAATTGTCGATTTAAGGGTCGGTCTAAAACATTTCAAAGCTTCGAGGCAATAAGCGAACTCGGACATGCCCTGCGCACGCTTAAAACTTCAGGCTGACAATACCTCTGCTCTAAAATATGCACAGAACGTATATATGTACCTACACGTACGTTACGCACATACATGTACGTACTTGTACATCGTATGTCAGTCAGCCTGCAGAGCACGTGTTGCCGAGGTCAAATCCTGTCCACATCACAGTGACCGTTTTAGCCGATTTTCGGCTAACTTTGACAGAGTTCATGTTCATGCATGTGCATAGTCAGGGACGTATACTAAAATATCATAATGCCGAAAAGCCATGTGTTACGTATTTAAAGGTGCAGTTTTTCTGCAGTGGGATTTTCCACAAGTCTTTTCCTATACAACACTGATATCTTACTGAGTAGTTCTGAACTTCAGCCGAGAATTACTATGAGAAGGAAGCAGAAATCATATTTTTTCGCACTGTCATTCGATTGAACATATTCCTAAGGGTCAGAATATCAAGTAATATTTCATAAAAATGTTTCAGTTCAAAGGCAAATTACAAATTTAAAGGTGCAATGTTTCTGCAGTGGGTTTTTTTTTTAGCCCGTTAACTTTGTACACGTGTTAGCCCATTGACTTTGTACACGTTTTCAAGCCACCATTTCTATAATTTGGCGATCTGGAATCATCATCAATGTTACAGCCAAGGAAGACCCTCATACAAAAATTATGCCAAGACTATGACGTCATGATGATGTCATCACCTATTTTTTTAATTGATTTTTGAAAATGTACGTGCATATTATGAAGTCCTATATCTACAGAACTGTAATTCTGATTGGGTTGAAACTTGGTATGTGGCTAGACCGGGATGTGTTATAGGTAAAAAAAAAAATAAGGTGGTCGAGACCGAACATGATTTTTGCGGGTATTGATAGAATTATCGAGGGTCTTCATTTTTTAAATATGTGCAATTAATCATGTGACTCTTTCTTTTGGTTGAAACCGGAAGTGCTTTGTAATTTAAAATTGGTGAAAGACGCAAATTGCTTTCAACGATGTTTGCTCTGGCTAAGTTGTTCTTTACCATAATGCTATAGTAGTAGATGAAACTTTATGTGACGTCATCATGATGTCATCACGTGACATGTGACGTCATAATTTAAAGCCCTATGCGAATGGAATCACATATTATATGCCACCATTTATTATAAACAGAACTACACATCCTTGGTTGATGGAACACATGTCACATGTCACAAAAAGCTACCGAAACAGCCCTATGTTTGTCCACAAACATATGTCTAGTTTTCTTTTTTTTTTCTTTTTCAGCCCAAGCCCATAGCATTTGTACATGTATTTTTGTCACCGGCACTTTGGGCACTTAAATTAATCCAATTGTCTTTATACTTGGCACACACTTAGACCAGCATCTGAAGATGTGTGCCGAACATTGACATCATTGTGACGTCATCAGGAGTCACGTGACGTCACATTATATGCGATTTTTCTGTTGTGACCATTTTCTGGCAGAATTCGGCTAGATCTGACAGATTTGGCTATATCTCCAGAACTACAGGTCCGATTGGGTTGAAAGTTGATATGTTCCTAGATTGGGATGTGTTACAGATGAAAATTTAAGTGACGTTATGATGACGTCATCATGTGACCTGTGACATTATAAGAACAATTGCATCTTTTACAGGCCTTTATCTCCAGAACTACAGGCCTGATTGGGTTGAATGTTGGTATGTGCCTAGACCGGGATGTGTTAAAGGTGAAAATTAAAGTGACGTCATGATGATGTCATCACACGACATATGACGTCATCGTAAAAATACATATTTTATAGGTCCGTATTACAGGAACTACAGGTTCGATTGGGTTCAAAGTTGGAATATACCTAGACTGGGATATCTTATAAATAAAACAAAATTGATGTCATGATGACGTCATCACGTGACATATGACATCATGGTCAATAAACATATTTTGAACATCCTTTCTTGATGGAACTTATACTTGAAACTTTACATGTCACATGTCACAAAAACAGCCCTGTGTTTGTCCACAAACATAAATCTAGTTTTGCATTGCTTTTTTTCCTCTACAATTTCACCTTATAATTTTATTATACTTGATAACTTTTCAGTACAGAAAGGCAGTTTGTGGTGATAGAGATGTAATTATTTGGATTGTTTACTTTCTTTTACTTGACACAGGATCAGTACCAGTTCTGCTACCGAGCAGCCTTTGAATACCTTGGATCATTTGATCACTTTACATAAAGCAGAATGTAGTCAAGACCAACTCATACTGCTCGTCATACAACTCGTACAGTCTATACTATCCTGACGACAATTGTAAATAGCACGTTGATGCATTTCCCTGTAGAATCCTTGCTATTTTTGTGGTTGCGGGTTTTCAATTTGATATAAATGGGGCATTTGCCTGGCTTGTTGCGTAGTTGGCAAATTTACTACTATCATTTCATTGGCTCATCTCCTCGCTGCTGGGCGTTATAGTTGTGAATATGACAAGTTGGTGAGTCAGGGTAATGAGCCAACTTATCTGACTGGTTTATGTTACAAAATCTACATTGCATTATACTAATGTAACAAAAGTGAGTATTACAAATTGGTCCGAGAGGTTAAACTTTGAAATGCCAATACTTCTGAAATGCCAAGAAACAAATTTACATGAAAACAATTGCCTTGAGTATCAAAAGCACAGTGAAATCAATTGGTCATCATGTTTGGTGACTTGACTTGGCACACACACTGACACATCAGTTATTTATAGGGTGTCTTTATAATGAACAATCAGGCAACAATACTAGAATATAATCCAATCATTGGATGAATTATTTTGATTTGATTAATTCAAAGAAAAGTACTTATGTTGTAAAGTAAAGTTTACCGCTAACAGCTTCAGTTTATAGCTTATTTTGTAATATTCTTGAAATATGTCTTGCAGTAAGAAGTATTTTGTACAATGTTTACATTTTAAAGAATGGGTGTTTTTTTAAGTTGACTTTCTGTGTATGGATGTAGACTAGAGGTTAATTTGAACATATCTCCAGCTTGGAGGTATTCAATTGGTGCTGGGTACAGTGTTAATGTTCATGCTTTTCTAAGGACTTGTAGGTGACTTGTATGTAGCATTGATCTAGTGTTAAAGTAAAGAACAAGATGTCATTTTGGAAGTGTTTGTAATATTTTGTAGACTAATTGGCTGTACCTAGGAAGTTGTATTGGTTTGTGTGTATGACACTTGAAGTTGAGTGATTGCATGATCGCCAGTAATTGGTTTAGTTGATAACATTTATATGATGCCTCATTTTAATTGATTTCAGTACTTGAATTGTTAAAGCTGCATTCATTATCAAGTAACTTGTGTAGTTAATTGAGTATATCTTTAAAGCTTACCTTTTGTAACAAAAAAAATGTATTCATTTGATTTTGTATTCAGTATGTCTTAGTTAGAATTTAAAAGCGATACAGCCAAAGTTCTGATATTCAACCTTTATTCAGATGACATAATTCAACTTCCAGTTCAGACATGAAAAAGAATTTAAAAAAAAAAAAAAGTGTAGGTTGTAATTTGATTTTGTCTTAACCCTTGCTTTAATACATATTCATGACAAGTACACAGTGTTCCTGTATATTCAGATGATGTAGTTTCTCTACCACTTAGATCAATGTAGTTATGTTTGGGCTGCAAGAAAGTCTTGGCATGTAAGTGGTCCTATTTATGGCACGTGGGCATTCTCAGGATGTAGTTCTTGAAGAAACTTTTAGGACTTTGCACAATTTAAAGAATCAATGTGATGTTTGATCAATCTTCTTTTCCTTTCCATTGTTGCATATTTTATTTTAAAGGTACCCAATGCAAATAAAGTACAGATAAAGGGCTTTTTGTCGCAACACTGTTAAAGATGAAAGATGAAAAAAACAATTTTGGGGGGTTTTGCTTTTTTGGGGGGGGGGGGGCATTTCACAGTGTAAGAGGGTACATTTCAGTTTGGAATTTTAAACCCAGAAAAAAAATTATTTTTTTTTTTTTTATAAATGGAACAAAACTTCACAAGAGTCTTGTAGCTGCACATAATGGAACTTATGATAGGTGCTTAGTTTGAGCCAAAGGGGATATACATGCATTACTCAGCTAATCAAGTTGTCTTCCATCTGCTTTCATGAAGATAGCCACTTCCACTCTATCATGCCCAATAAATGCAGATTGAGAAATTTAGACTCGCCTTTGTTCATCTTTTAAGAAGTAATTGGACATTTAACAAATAAGATTTGAAACTTTGCATGGCGGTAGTGTCAACTAGTGAGGATTTGCAGTCTCAAAAGAGAACGAGATTCTTCCACATGGTGTTACTGCAACCCTCATTAGTTCATTTAACAAATGTAATGTAATGATGTAATTGGGGCATTTTAGAATGTTTTATATTTCTTTTTGTACATAACATGCAATTGGTGCTTCTGAAGTTGAATGTAGGATAGATAGTGTACAATGATCAGTTGTCAAAGATTTTGTACGTATTTGATAGAAAATTTAGCATGGGTAATTTCCTCCCTCTGAAATGTTGAAAAGTGTGTATGAGAACGTTGATTGCATACTGATAACAACCATCAGAGTCAGATTATAAGAGAATGGTCAACGGCAAGGTGACTAGTCAACATTCAATATTGGTTGGAATTATTGGGATCATATTGCATATTCAAATCTGGCTGGAACTCACTACAATCACACTGAGTAATTGTCATTGTTTGCTAAGTTCATACATTGTTAGTGGGACATATTCGAAGTAGAAGTGTCATAGGATTGTTGACCCCGTGGTTGAATACACTAGAACTATAACACTGAAATGTATTTGGCTATTTGCATGGCTGCATTGTACAGGTACTATGTATAGCCCCTTTTGGGTTTGCATGAGAATGGTATCATTGTTGGTGTAAATGTTCTAGAAATAGAACAGGATGTATAGAATAATGTTCCCATATATTGACAGCTTTCTTTTTGTGGTGTTGAGGTCGAGTCCACAATTCTGCCCAAGTCAAGTGGCAAGTTATTCACATTTCTGTAATAAGTACATCCTCTTGTTCATTCACTTGTGACTTGACTTGTGCTGGACTTGACTACAACACTGCTGTCATATTTTAATACCACGCCTTCCTCATTTTCATAGTATGCAATCCCTTCCTTGTTTTGTGAATGTCTGCTTCGTTTGAAGTTGTGTAAGTTTTGCTATGAATGAGTAAGGTGCTATGGGGCAGTTTTGTGAGTTTGGGCTCATGAGTACCAATGATGTTTCAGTGAAGTACTATGCAGGGCGGTCCAAAACAAAACAAACGCAACCTCATACTTCCACTATTCAGAGACCTGCACTATTGATATGTATGGATAGGACATTTTGTTGGAAGGAAAATGATACCAAAGACTCCCGATTCGGTCCAGTAGTTTTGATGCCAGTGCTTTTCTTATGAACCAAAGTCATGGGCTCTAATTAGGATTATCGCACACAGTGAACAAAAGGATTATCTTAACCCCTGACATTGGTTCACAAAAATGGCACTGGAATCAAAACTACTGAACCAAATCGGGAGTTCTTGGTATCATTTTCCTTCTAACAAAATTTCCTAGCCATACATATTAATGGTTTAGGTTGCTGGATATTGGAAGTATGAGATTGCAGGGTTTTTTTGGACCACCCTGTATATGCATGAGAAACGTGTCATGCATAACAAACCTACAATAACGATTTGCTTATCGTTATGATTATGCTACCTCCTTACACTTACTACATCCGACACTAGGGTTTTTTAATTGATAATTTTTCTGTATCCTGATGAACTTAGTACAGATATTTTTTATGTTAACTTATTCATATAACTATCAAGAAATAAAAATACATTCAAGCCATTGTATTCAGTACATCATTTAGGTCAAGAAGAAGGTATACAGAAGGTATACAGAAAGTAAGTTGTACAATGTTTGAAGTAGCACTTTGATCACAAAAATATCGAGTATTGCTGCAGAATAAGTTTTCATTTCTGTTTTGAAAATATGTTGCCACATAAGCCACTTGTTGGAAAGAAGGCAGGGAATGGCGAGCGTCAAATGATACACAAAACGTGTTTAAATTTGAAAACTGTTTTGAAAAAATTCAAATTATATGACTTAACTGTAGTACATAAATTAATGTGTATTTGTCAATGGTTAAGACAGTGTTGGCAATGTGTTGATTTGGTAGTATGGTAAGTTTACCAGCTTGTCTCAGTTTTCTACTTAACATGTACATGTACTTTGTAGCCGGTAGTCGACCTTACTTATGGTTTACCGAGTGTGATGTAAAAATCCATTTTGTCTTATGCATAATTCAATAGCAATATGATGCCGACTCTACAGACACTGGATTTTGTAGTATTTACATGTAAAAGTGATGGAACTTTATGAGCAAGATAGCTATTCACTTTAATGCTTCATTATTACTGCTTTTAATACGTCAATTTTAAATGTACAAGTTAATTAGCATAGTTTTTATTATTGTATACCCACCAATGCTTAGTTTTACCTGGTGTTAAGTCAAGATGCATTCATTGTGTACATGTGCTCAAATTTTGTATCAATTAAAAAAAAATCCAATACTAATGTATTTATATGTACAAATTCTTTTACCTTCATAAATTATAAAAATGAAACTATATTTATTATAGGCTTATATAAACATATGTGGGACTGACGTATTACAGGCACGTCCCCACACCCCAGTTGCCTGACCAAGAACAATATTCACTTGTACGCTTTGACTTGTCCTCTTGTGATGTGAACCCAATTTTTCACTCTGGGCAAATCATTTCCATTCACAGCTATGTAACCAATTGCAGACTTAACTAAATTTGGACAATTTGGGCACTATTTAAAGAAAGAAAAAAAACCTTTTTACTCATGATAGTTGGTCCTAACCATCGTAAGGAAATTATGGTAATTCCTCTTTTTCTCGAAAATGACAGCATATTATAAAATAACGGTGTTGCTGTTGAAACCCCTCAGCCAGAGTCAAGTTATCATCTGGAAACTATTAACCTTTAACTCAACATGGTGACCTTGACCTTTGACCTCTTGACCCCAAAACCAATCCCAACATGCCTGTAGCAATCTCCCTTACCTAAGTCAGGCACCAAAATCTCACTTCTAACTCAAGTTATCATCCGGAAACCATTTACCTTTAACTCATTACTGTGACCCTGGCCTGTCGGCTGAGGGGTAACTAGGCACAATTTTAACCACTTTTTGGCCACCCCCGTTACATTTTCATTTCTCGGTAGCCAAAATGCTGAAGTTTTTTACCAGTTGTCGAAAGGTTTGATCGGCTTTTCTACTTTACTGAAAGGAGAAAGCAGATGGCCACTTTTCATTTGGCTGAATTAAAAAAAATGGAAACCTTAAAAAAGTTTGATCAGATTTTATGCGTGAGCAGATTTTATTCAGGCACACGAAAAGAGACTAATGTGCTTTTCTCCTTTCAACTACTGAATTCTTTATTGCAACAAGCATGCACGTACGATTAACACCAACACGATCACAAGTACAAATATGACATCACTTCAAAGAAATCACCAGTATACATGAAAACATAAAACATCACTGTTTTAATAAAGTAGCAAGCTCATAACATGACAGCAAATAAAGACAACACATTTGCTTAAAAATATATGTACATGAACAAAAACAAATTCTAGAATATTTGTTATCTTTTGATGTTGCGATGAGGACATTTATATTGATATTTTATACATTAAACAAAACATTGCGACAACATTGTACCTATTGGTACCAATACAAAATAATGTTAAGCATTCTGATGTCTAAAGAACCAACAACCCAAACAATGAATGAATAAATCAACTTCAACAATGATGATTATCTGATGATGACTGTTTAAAATTAAACAAGCAGCTCCATTCTAAAAAAAAAACCTGGTCATTTTAAATACAAGTATGTAAACAATTTGACCTGAATCCCTCCCCCCCCCCAAAAAAAACCGAATGAACTGAGCATAGGACTCTCCGCCTAATGATTTATGCTTATAAGTTTATGCTTTTTTGGCGATGTGCAGTATTATCAGTATTTGGCGAATTATCAAAATGATAATTTTGCGAACAAGATGCATTTAATGGAAAATTTTGCTTGTAGCCAAAAATATAAAAGTTTAACCATTTATTAAAAATCAGTTGATGACGTCATCTCATGTCACTGCGAATTTTGCATACTAGTAACATTATCTACCTTTCCACGATGTTTCCATGACAATCGGACCTACCCTTAAATGTTTTGAAAAAACTCATATTTTTGATGACGTCATGAAGATGTCACACAGTGTTCACATTTTTGTGCAAATATCTGACCTAACAAACCTATTCTACAGAGAATTTTGAATTTAGCATGTTAGGTTCGTGAGGTATGGCGTTTAGAACAATAATAAAGTAGTAGTTCTGATTCCGTTTACATGGCATTCAAAAATAGGGTAGGTTGGTAGGGAATTTTTTTTTTTTTTTTTTTTGCAAATATCTATGACATAAACCGATTACAGAAATAATTTTTTATTTAGCATGTTGCGTTCATGAGATAAGGCTATGAACTTCAACATTTTTAAAATGTATATAAAACCATCCATGTGATGACGTCATCATGACATCACCTCAATTATTTTCATCTATAACACATCCCGGTATGGGAACATACAAATAAATAAAACGGGTATTCATTTTAGCTGAATGAAATTGACAAAATTGATTACGTTTTTTATAAAATGAGTATAGCAGCCAAAAATTTGGGTAGAAATGTTCTGCATTTTTCAACATGACGACATCTCCTGCGAAATGTGAGTATAGGTGACTTGGGTAAAAGGCAAGTTCAAATTTCCTTTCTGTTTAAGTTTGCTTTTCAAGTGAGTGGTGGAAAACCGTATATTGCTAAAAAAAAGCACCCACTAGAGATTTTAATTTATATTGGCTCAATGTTTATTGAATGTATTAAATGTTTAAGTCAGGTTATTAATCCAGCATGTAGTCATGCTTGCTGATGCCTATTCCATGTTTACCCTACAATCAAGTCAATCAAGTCATAACCTCTTGGAGCTGATCCAAGACTGAACGGAGTACGTACTAGGTGAGCCACACATAACCCCACAACTGAACTGATTTAGGAAAAATATGCTACAAGCACTACAATAACAATAAAATGCCAGCTACTGATCACAGAACTGCCAGTGAAATGAAGTATTATTTGTACGAGAAACAAACGGCATTACATGTATGTGCATGTAATATGCATCAAAAATGACCAAAATTCTTACAAGATTATTTGATCCAAAATAACTAATAACAGAAAAGTTACATTTGTAAATGTGGTGGAATATCCTGAGATGAGGTTTGTATGCACCCTTGTACTCTGCTGGTAACAAATTACATGTGATGTAGGTGTACATTGTAACCCTAGGAAGACAGAAAACGTGTCATAATAATGTGTACATCAATGATAAAGCACATGAATTCACAACAGTGTGAAGCAACTTTCATTTGGCTAGAAAGCTTGGCCCAAGTAGATTTGTCTATTGTTTGAAGAAGAAAAAATTCTCAGCTTGCAAACAATGAAAGTATTAGATAAAGAACAAATGCAGTATGAATAACATTTGTGTAAGCGTACATTTTCACTACCTTCAGTCAGAATTCAGTTCAAAACAATAAAGAAACGTGGTGCAGTACTTATAAATGTGACCTGACTTTACAGCCATGCTGTGTGAATTATGCAATGGACTAGCAAAATAATCCAGGCTGTGGACAACATTTGCACATTCGAACATGCAAATGTTGTCCACAGCCTTGATTATTGTTGTAATTATCACACAAAATGGTGATTTAATAGGCCACTTTTTTTCAATCCGTGATATGTGTGTGGATTGGAAAAAAGTGGCCTTATTAAATCACCATTTTGTGGGATAATTACAACGGGTCCAGATATCTACATCTCAACAGTGCAGATAATAAATAACCATCCAAAATAGTGTTTAACAGGGGACTTTTTCCAAGCTCGAGAAGTCACCGGTTCCCGCATCACTGGTAATTAGAACTGATTTGCATATGGGATACGTGTGCAGCTTGGAATAAGTTGCTTGTCAAATCACCATTTTGTGTGGTCATTTCATCTGGCACAACATGGGCAATGTGCATTTCACATCAAAATGAATAAAATCTTTGGGTTTGGTCAAATGATCACACAAAAAGGTGATATAACCAGCAAGTTTATCCGAACTGCAGACGTATATGATCCCAATTTTCACATGACACATCCAGGATTGAATCAAAATTTATTAATTATAAGGCAAACAAATATGTATACATGTAGTTGACCATAAAAAAACAAATCATTTGCAATCAATTTCCATCCACACAGACCTGCTTGATTGTTGATAACATTTTCTCCTTAAAATATGATGATTGAAGTGTTTGACTGAATATTCAAATTATTTTCCAGGATGTGGGCAACAAACTAAACACAAACTCCGTGTCTGACACAGAAATATAAACATATTTACATCAGCCATTCCAAAAAGAAATCCATTGGTAGGTATCAGGGAAGAATATGTACCACAAAACATTTGCATGAAATAAACATTTTCTTACTACTTGGCAATTTACAACCAAATAAATTAGCTACATTAAACTTTCAATTTTAAGTAAATGCCAATTTAGATGATTGACTGTGAGTGGTTTGTCTTTTGACATATTTGAACCACTTTCACAACTGCAACAAAACCTACCAAAACTCAGCACCCAATTAATTGACATAATAATAAACAGTTATCCCATCAGATGGCCACTGAGGGTTGTATCCAAGTAGGCCAGGGGCTGTATTCACAAAACCCAAACTTAAGACAATACGTAAGTCACACTTAAAGGGAAGATACAACATTTGCAAATATCAAAAAACAGATGATTAATTTATCACAAAATACCTTCTAAAGGAACCTGTAAAATCGTGGCTCCTGTTGTGCTGACATTAAAAAAAAAAAACTGCATTTTTTCCAATGCTGGTCAGCCGACCACCGTTGGAAAAAAAACTGGCTTTTTCCAAAAACTGCTCCTAATTGTTCATATTAAGCTACTCCGCATTTTCTTTGCAATTGCAATGCCATCAATTGTACCCGCGCGCCCGCTTAAAATTCAAAATCTGTTAGAATGTCCACAAACTGCAATCATAGGGCTGTCAGACATTTTCTTCATCTTGGCTTCATCAGTGTTCCAAATGTGTTCAAAACACAGTTGGGAAGGGTTCCAATAGTTAGATATTTACGAGGATTTCCATTATCTGCTAGAAAGTCCAGTTTACATTTATGTCACGAAAATAAGATGGGCACTCTGCGAAAATGTATCATGAATACAGCTTAACTAGTAAGACTTGTCTAAGTCGCACATTTAAGTGGGGTGCTTACTTTTGACTGATGACTCAAGTCCTTGTGTGAATACGGCCCCAGCACTTGACATGACATTGTGAGCAACCTCCTCAAAACTAGTGAACTATCCAGCTTTGCCTGACTGGCTAACAAGGGGCTAGATATTTGTATCTGTGACAATTTGTTAATGTTTAGAGAAACTGACTCAGCAAGCCATTCAAGTCAAGTGGGTCTCTCAAAGCAAGGTTTCAAGCACAAGAACAATGGACTCAGAATATTATTCAAGAAATAATTCATTCTCAAAAACACTATTCTTTTTATACAATCAATTGAAATCATGCACCTTGTTCAAGTACACAGACTCTTGACCATCACTTCATGCTCATATAAAAAGCTTGATCTGCATTCCTGAAGGTTTTGACACACTAAACGTCACTGCAGTTTCATCAGTAAAGTGAAGCTATGTTCTGTGATGTAACATTTCAAAATTATGCCAAATTAAACAAAACTCTCTTGCTGATTTGTTCTATTGAAAATTGACAGATCCAACTTGTACAAAAATACCTGCTCAGAATGCTATTGTTATATATTAATAACTTCTTTGAAAGAACCCATGCCTTGAAAAGTTCAAATTATCATATTGTTGTTAATTTCAATTTATGTTGATCCTTTCACTGTGAACACCAACAAAACCCACTAAAATTATTATATATTGGATGGCTTTGAGGTGGATACAAGAATATGTTGTCATAGCGAGTGCTATATATTCTTGTTTCCCCCGACAAAAAGCCATCCCATATTATTATTATTATTTATATCAGGCTGACTTGATTCTCAAGAAATACAAGACACTGTCATAATTTCTCCTAGGAGAAATTATGATAAGGGCACGCCGGACAATATCAAAAGTAATATTGTCCGCAATCTATTTGAAGCTGTCATTGTGATTATTGACAACAATGTGCGTATACCTGGCCTGCTGCACGCTGCACGCTTCGTGCTGCGTGGGCGTCCGTGTTTGATCGTACCGCGTGCTACGCTCTGTTGACTGGTTGAAAACTGTGAGTTTCTACGCTCTTGATCTTACGGAAACCAGCGAAAATGCCTGGATAAGGGCGCGCCGGACAATATCCAAAGTAATATTGTCTGCAATCCGGGTACTTTTACTGACAATATTGCTGTCATCCGGGTACGTTTTACAAAAGCATACAATAACCTGATTTATTTTTACCGCTGGAAGCCTGATATAAATAATAATATATTATAGTTCCTTTCTATTTTTTAAGGTTCCCAGTAAGCGAAAAGGAAGTTCATTGGTGCTGCGTATAAGCTGTGAGAAATGGTCAACCATGCAGTATGGCATGGAGTATTAAAAGCAATTTATTGACGCAGACGTTATAATATGAATGGTTTGTTTGTACTTCACTTTGGCAGCAATTATTTGGGAAGAATGGCATAATGCATACATGTAATAAATCAACTTTGTCTACCTTATTAAACACACATTTTAAGGATGAGATATATATATAAATATAATTGACATCAAGCATGCATGCAGATGTGTGTAAAAGGTTTGATGTTAACAAAACACTTAGATACACACCAAATGATATTACCTTTCCCTCTTTCTCACTATATACATAATGCATATGTACAAGTGTTACTAATGAGAGTTAACAACTTTTATAATAAATAACTAATACCTAAATAACATTCTAAAATGAACAAATTCACTGAAAACTGATGTATTTGAAACCACTTTGAACTACATTTACTGGTTGAGCAATTGTTCAATAAAAATTGCAAGAGAATATCTGATTGTGAATTGGGCACACACATACCATGTGATGCCACTGCAACTGTCCGTCCATACACATCATGCTTCAATATTGCAATCTCCTTTCATCTCTTGAGGGAAGACTTCAATCTGGGACATATCTGCCTGTGCTTGTGCTGTGTCTGGAATGAGTGCTTCGGTAAGGTTGTCCTGTGTTCTATCTGGTCTTACTCCATCAATCACTGCCTGTGATTGGTCTAGGATCTCTTCAGTATGTTCACTATGGTGTGCCAGGATAACCTCCTGCATTGCCTTGTTAGGCATGCCATGAGTACTTCTACTGTTTGCTGCCTTGTCTCTTGTATTAATGGATGTTTTGTCCTCGGGTTCAGATCCACTTGAAGCATACAGGCTGTACACATGACGATGACGTTCCTTCACTATCTTGTTTTCCCAGAAATTCTCATGCCGCATGTCCGAAGCAGTAGACTACAAAAAATGTATTTATAAAATGTATTAAGATGCCGCGAAAAACCAATGAAATAAATAACTAAACATACAGTAAACTCCGGCTAAACCGACATCGTACAACTCGTCAAATCGCTCAAGTCGGCCGTCTGACTTAAGTCCCGATTGTAATGCATTTCCATTGCATTTTGTACTTCTAAGTCGGCTTTTATGAGTCGCCATTTCGCTCAAGTTGTCGTGTTATTCTCGGTCCCCTTTCCATAAAAGCATTACAAAATACTTTGTGTAAGTCGGCATTCAATAAATCACGCATTGGCATCGACTTCCTGTACTGCGGTTGGAAAAGTGTCAAGTGTCGAGTGAAAAGTGGTTTCGCACGGTCCGTGATCACTGCATGCATCGGTGTCGAAAAAGGGTGTCCTACTGCATACATCACATATGCATCGTGAGCATACCCCTCTAGGCTGTACGCATGCGCTCTGTCCATTTTGGGGGTTGTCTTATTGAATGACTACTGCTGCAGTCAATGCGTGTGTGGTATACACCGGACCACCCACGCATTTAATTTGTTACTGTGCACGTACATATGTATCATGGTCTCCACTATCATACCCCAAACGTGATGGCACAATTCGAGTATTCAATTCGTTACTGTGCACGTACATGTATCATGGTCTCCACTATCATACCCAAACGTGATGGCACAATTCGAGTATTCAATTCGTTACTGTGCACGTACATGTATCATGGTCTCCACTATCATACCCCAAACGTGATGGCACAATTCGAGTATTCAATTCGTTACTGTGCACGTACATGTATCATGGTCTCCACTATCATACCCCAAACGTGATGGCACAATTCAAGTATTCAATTCGTTACTGTGCACGTACATGTTTCATGGTCTCCACTATCATACCCCAAACGTGATGGCACAATTCGAGTATTCAATTCGTTACTGTGCACGTACATGTATCATGGTCTCCACTATCATACCCCAAACGTGATGGCACAATTCGAGTATTCAATTCGTTACTGTGCACGTACATGTATCATGGTCTCCACTATCATACCCAAACGTGATGGCACAATTCGAGTATTCAATTCGTTACTGTGCACGTACATGTACCATGGTCTCCACTATCATACCCCAAACGTGATGGCACAATTCGAGTATTCAATTCGTTACTGTGCACGTACATGTATCATGGTCTCCACTATCATACCCCAAACGTGATGGCACAATTCGAGTATTCAATTCGTTACTGTGCACGTACATGTATCATGGTCTCCACTATCATACCCAAACGTGATGGCACAATTCGAGGATTAATTTGCTGGATTTAACTCAAGCATTAAGGAGATAATCCAGGGTAAATCAAAGCCAATTAGTGCAATGAATCATGTGTGCAAAAGACCATTCATGTAAGTCGGCAAAATGACGACTTACAGCAGATATCGGCATTCACGTAAGTCGTCACAAATCCTCGGGTCCCGAGAGTGCCGGTTTAGCCGGAGTTTACTGTATCTAATTGGCATCGAACAAATCACACTTGTTGCGATATCAAATCTCAAATCAGTGATTTTGACCAAGTGAATGCATGAATGTAAAGTGGTTGCACCCAGGCATCTGTGGAACACTAAAAGATGTTTGTTTCTCCCTGCTGTAAACCCAGTGATCTCTTTATGCTGACTGGATAGCACACACCCCTGACTGGATAGCACACACCCCTGACTGGATAGCACACACCCCTGACTGGATAGCACACACCCCTGACTGGATAGTACACAATGTTGTAGGGACATTCTTTCTCCTCAATAAGGCCACCACTTATGGACAGCTGTGCTGGACAGAAAGGGAAACACTGTGATGTATGACATTATTCAACTAATCACATTTACTTGAGTTAACAAAGACAGCCAGTGTTTAGATGAAATATGTGTGGACAATAACTCAATTTTATGTTGACATTAATTACATAATATTGGATGGCTTTGAGGGGATACAAGAATATATCGCACGAGCTATGATATTGCACGAGTCGAAGACGAGTGCAATATTGTCATAGCGAGTGCAATATATTCTTGTATCCCCCGAAAAAAAGCCATCCAATGTTAATATTATCTATATCAGGCTGACTTGATTCACAAGAAATACATTTCAAGACACTGTCTTTATTTCTCCTATTTCGTCAAACTATTTGAAGCTGCCATTGTGATAATTGACATCAGTGCGCGTATACCTGGCCTGCTGCGTGCTGTGCGCTACACGCTGCATGGGCGTCCACGTTTGATGGTATCGCGCGCTACGCTCTGATGAGTGGTTGACAACTGTGAGTTTCTATGCTCTTGGTCATGCAGGAACCAGCAGAAATGCCTGGATAAGGGCGCGTCGGAAAATATCAAAAGTAATATTGTCCACAATCCGGGTACTTTTAGTGACAATATTGCTGTCAACCTGGGTACATTTTAAAAAAGCATCCAATATGCTGATTTATTTTTACCGCTGGAAGCCTGATATAAAGAATGAGTCTGTTTAATGTCCACATATTTTGGCCCATCCTATGTCTACAACCATCTGCAAAAGACTCAAGCATGGCTTCCCATTATCATTACAACACTGTAAACGTACAGAACCTGTTACTGAAGGATACATTTTGAAAAGTGTTTCTGCAGTGATTATATTTACAAATGTCATCTCTTTTACCATTACTACATGATGGATGGCTAAGATTTGAAAAAGACATTTTAAGGTTTGGTCACTGATCTCTTAAAAGCTCTGTTGCGGACCTTCCATAATGCTGAAATTACCAATGTAGAGATAAGTGCCCAATTTCATGGCTCCGCTTGCTATAGACCATGTAAGTCTCGCGCATAAGCCAAGGTCACGATTGAATTTCTGGGCACCTCCGAGCCGCCGGGTAGAGGACTTTTACGTGTGGTTGATTTTGTTTTCTATATAACCTTGTTTTTATGAAGATCTGAATCACGAAACGGCCATACGTATTGATGATAAATTCAAAAGGAATTTGACGATATATGAAAACTACATGCCTGTTGTCTAAATTATTGAAGAAACACAGAAAAAAATGTTTCACCTGAGCATCAGGTTGCAACATGATTGGCTCATTATCGGGATGAGGAAACCCCTCCCCCCCCCCTCCAAATCCCTGTACGGCATCTGCATGCTCTGGCACTGACGTGTGCAGACGTGAACGTACATGTATGTACATGTACATTCAGGCCTCGCAAAATTTTTTAAAATGTAATTGCCCTTCGGGCAGGGGTGTTTGAAATCTGGTTGCCAGAATTTCATTTTCAGTTGCCCAATAAAAATGGCCGATTAATTACACTTGCATGATCATCGCCGGCATGGCAAACTGGAATCAAAAGATTTGTGGCTGGTACCCTGCCCTGTAATTCCCATAGAAGTAACGCACTTACAGAGTTGGGTTATCAGTGAATCAAACAATGTGCGACTGTGTCACGTGGACACCATTTTTTTTTCTTGGTTTTAATCTTTTTATTTTATTGGTAAGAGTCACCATTGGATATTAAAAAACAAAAGGAAAAACTCATAAAAAACTCAGAAAAAGGGGAGTGAATTATAGAGTCCAGCAAGAGTTCCAAAGCACAACATACCGTAGCGCTCGTTATAAAGCACCAGTGCGATGTTGGTAATCTACGCATAAAACAATAACGGGTACCAGCCAAAAGTACAGAACTTGGTCAATTTCAATCTGTACATAAGTCCGGCTACATTATGCAGCAACGTTTCACATTTTTTCGCTCTCCTTTTCCCTAATTTGATGTATCATTCACATTTTGCAAACTGAAATGAAAAGAACAGTGTCAAAACAAACTATTTCAAGAAAACTACTCGTTTTACAAGTTGAAGCTCGAGGTGCCCGGAAGTTTGGTTTCTTGTAAACTCTTGAATGTTCTCAGGGTCAATTTACACGCTCTATTAGTGAAAAATCCCTGCTAACATGTACTGTAGCAGGAAAGTCTGTGCTAATGGTAAACATGTTTTGCGGGTTAACAGGAATTTTGGCTTTACGTCCCGTAACTGAATATTCTGTGCTTACAGCACAGTTACCACAAAATTATTTGCTAGCATGGTTAGCACATAATAATTTGCTAGCATGGTTAGCACATAATTATTTGCTAGCATGGTTAGCACATAATTATTTGCTAGCATGGTTAGCACATAATTATTTTCTAGCATGGTTAGCACAAAATTACTTACTAGCATGGTAAGCACATAATTATTTGCTAGCATGATTAGCACATAATTATTTGCTAGCATGGTTAGCACATAATAATTTGCTAGCATGGTTAGCACATAATTATTTGCTAGCATGATTAGCACATAATTATTTGCTAGCATGGTTAGCACATAATTATTTGCTAGCATGGTTAGCACATAATTATTTGCTAGCATGGTTAGCACATAATTATTTGCTAGCATGGTTAGCACATAATTATTTGCTAGCATGGTTAGCACATAATTATTTGCTAGCATGGTTAGCACAGGCTGGTGATGGTGAGTGCTGAATTGTGTGATTAGTAGAGCCATGAAATTAGGGGTGCACGCCTGTAAATAGGCCAAAAATCCGTACGCCAAGCTCATGAATCAAAGTTATACCCTCAAAATATTCTATATTAGAGAGTTTTGAGTGCCATAAAATTGGGGAATTGACGAGATATGGTAATGAACCTCTGGCCCAGACTTGGGGCTTCCAATTCTGAGCATTTTGGATGCTATTGGGCTCGAAAATGGCGCTATTTTGCCATGTTGTGGAGGGATCGTTTTTCAAGATGGCTACTTTTCCGCTTTGGGGAAAATAGGGGTCGTCTTCTTTGGGTGAGAATATCTCGAAAAGTCAATGGTCAACCCACTAAAAATGAAAAGAAAATGAAAGATGACACATTGATCATCATTTTTCTGTGCAGCTTGAATACCTGTGAGAGTTCTGAGTATTTTTAAAAGAATTTTGAAGTATGCACATTTAGCACTAGTGTCTATGGGATTTTTTTTGCAGGGTTGCACCCTTAGGCCCGCTTTCTTTCTTTTGGTCTGGTTTTTGATGCCACATTGTGTTAAAGGTGCCTTTGGTTTTTCTGGAGCCCTCCAAGTTTTATAGGCCCTTGATTTCCATAGGCCTAAAATGTTCCAAGCCCTCGGCACAGTGCCTACTAGTCCATCCTTGCTTCTAACATCGACAGAAAAAAAATTAGTGCAACAAAATCTAGACAGAAAGGAAACCAAAGCACAAGCCACCCGGTCCTGAGAAAAATATGGAGCAGCTAAGACCTTACGTGAGTGAGAAGATTTGAACTAACCAGTTTTGTAGTCACTTTCTTTGGAAGGGGTTCTTCTTGTGAGTAAAGGTCTTCACGTTTGACTCTCAATACAGAACCATCTTCAAACTCTACATCATACATCTGAACCATGTAGCTTTTGACAAAGGTGCCTCTATAGACGAGACCATCTGTCCAACGCACTGTAACTGCATCACCTTCACTTGGAGGGCCATTTCTCATGCAGTCATGACTCTACATACAGAAACAGTAGAAACACAATCTCAGGAATATTGTCTGCTTTGCATGAAAACATTCAGCTTTGTAATAACCAACCTGCATTACTTACACTGCCACTTACAGAGTGCTGACCAGTTTCATGTACCTTCATACCATAGCACTGCAATGTATTTGTTCTGAAATCCTGAATTAAAATACATATACACATATATCTATTTTGTGATAACCTTGTGGAGATGTACAGTATTCACCTTTTCACCTTTATATCCGACTTACAGATCCTTGTCATTTAATTGGTGGAACTCACATCACGTGTCATTCGTTATTACTACCATTCACGCCCGGGCTCAAAAAGTACTATCCGCCCATGGGGAATGGGAAATACTATTGAACAGTTATAGGATCATTCTTGTTCTATGACCAGTATTTGTGTGCAAATGCATGCTGGTGTGCGCGTTCAACGTTGCGCGTAGCGCGTATTGTAGCCAGCGCTACAGCGTTGGGTTCAAACATTTTCGTGAAGGGGTGGTTTGGAAGAGAGAAATACATTTTTCACCACTTTTGTATTGAAATAAAAGCTCAAATATATCAAATGACAAGGATCTATTGTCAGTTATATAAAACAAATATTGAGTGGCTTTAAATTGTGAAATGGGAGGAATATTATCGCTCGGTAAAATCTGGACTTTTCCAGTTCACGAGGCAAAGTCCAGATTTTACCTTGCGATAATATTCCTCCCATTCCACGCTGATCCACTCAATATCTGTATAATAGAAAATTGCCCTGTGAAGACTTATCTTTTGTTCCCTATTATACCCATGTCTCCACAGGGTACCATGTATTCTGGTGTAAATCGAGGATTTTCTATTGTTCCTCTTCCCTTTTCCTTTGTTTATACTCTCAACTTTTTTGTAACAGCTCTCATTGGTTTTGTACACATTTTCTAATCGAGGTCATCCTTGATCTGGTTCCTGTCCTCAATTCATTGATGATGTTGCACGTGTGTGTCCTCAATTTACACCATAAACACACACAAGTGTGTATTTGCCTGCAATCGGGGACCCAGCCATGTGCTACCAGCGGGCGGCACAGACACCTATTGTCCCTTTTTTGTTTGTAACTTTTTAGAAGACCTCCCATATAGTTGTACACGGTCGCCAAATTGGGGACCTTCGGGAATTGGGGACCCTATTGTCCTCTACTGTTCAACGTCCCCTATTGAATGCAGAAACAAACTCACACATACATGTAAACACACAGAAGGAATACGCTATCGCAATATGCCCCTGTTGGCTTAAAAACCAGGGGGATAAAAGGGGATGTTAAATAGTTTTCATACATTTAAGAGGAGTATTAAAAGACAGTTGCACAAAATGTGTTCCTCAAACAAATTTATTTCATGGACCCTGTAAGAGAAGCCGGGCAGTCGTAAAACTGATCCTGGCACGCTGTACATTCTATCAAGGACGCTTTCAATGGCAAAAGCAGTGTGCTAGCTTTTGTTCACATAATGTGTCACAGGGCAGTTGCTTTATAGAACAGCATGCACAATGGTTTCACCAATGAAGGGGGCCTCTTGTGATTATGTGCCCTGTAATGCCAATGAATCCAGCTCATTGTGCAGACCAAATGCAGGAATAGACTTCCAGTCAATAGCCAATCTGAATCCATTGAATACAATTTTGTTTACAGGCTTGCTGGTCTTGTTCTGTGTTGTTTTACTTTAATATTAGATCCCACTGACGATTTGCCCATTTTCTGAGAACAGTAACTGTCAGTGAGATAAGAATAATACTCCTGGATACATCTCCTTACTTAGTTCTTACATTCAGTAACACAAGTACCAAGCTATGTCTAGAAACACTACCAATGAATGGTTAAAGTCTTCTCAATGTCTCAAACATTACATTGATTCAATCAAATACATATACACACATATCATCAATATTACAATTACAATTCCTACTATTTTTCTTGCCTCTTCTGTTCAAAACTCAACTTACCTCAATATCATGAGGATAAAGATTGTCGCTGTATGAGCCATCATCAAACTTCACATGGTAGAAGGCCTGTTGGTAATCTGCAATGACCTCTGCCTTGTAGTATCGACTGTTCTTATGTTTGGCTATGACTGTCTGGCCAACACAGATGTCCTTCAGTGGGTAATCACGAGGCTAGTATCAGAAAACAATGTCAAATTGTTCATGTCAAATCACAAGTAAAATAAACATTACGGCATCAATAATTGTAGTTTGCTGACATTCACTGTCAATACTTATGCTTGATGTGAAGGATCAGTATGAACTGTTCTACTTACTGTTGTGCCCTACTCATGTGAGGTAATACAACACTCTTACCATATCCATATTGGCAACACTGCATTAAGCTAATCCCTTTGATTTGTCACCTTCTGCTTTTCTATTACTTAAAAATATTTGAGTTATTGTTAGCTGTCATGATCTCTCTAGTCAATACACAAATAGACCCCTCTCAAATGACGTCACTGCCTACAGATTGTCACATGCATCGGCAAAGTGGGTGTCAAATTTCCGTGACATGCATCGGCTGTGCAGTATTTCAAAGAAATTTGTGTTAAGAAGTGTTTAGAACATTTTGTACTGCACGCACCTGATGTCGTTGAATACACATTTGTAATTGACGTAGGCAAGGTGGCTGTCTATGAGAGGGGTCTATGGTGAGTGTACAATTATAATGATTGTTTCCTGATCTCTTACATTGTCCCTCATCTTGTCTGAGTATGGGTGTCTGAGGCAAGTAGCATACACTGCAAATGGCCAGTCACAAGGTTCCATTACCACTCCTGCTGCTTGAGCACACGTTACATGGAATGCCAAGGCACATCTACCCACTGAACATTGGATTAAGCCGCCAAACTTGCTACCCATCTTGATGAATGGCCGACAGAAGAAACATTTCTGGACCAACAAGAAAATTCATGAATCCATGCACATATTTATTTCCATTCACACTTTCAATCAAAAAGTCAAAACAAGTCAAAATTACAAATTTCCAATGATTTTGTACAACAATTTTACTTCACGTTTTGTGAAACGCCCCTCTAGCTATGTCTATGGTATGTACCTCGCGCGAGTGCAACTAAAATTCTCCTTTTATGCGTGAATTATGGTGCACAATGCATCGGTGCCGGTATAGTGTGAATTAAGGACTCTTTGAAATACAGACTCATGTGACATCGGAAAAGTGTTTAAAACCAGCCAGCTGGTGTTTTATCAACCATTTAAGACCGGTCACATGACGGGATCTCGACCAATAGGAATGGGTAAACTGTCTTAGGTATTTATGAATGGAAGTTAAAGGTATTATACAACATTTGCAAGCATCCTGTGAAATCATGGCACCTGGTGTGCTGTCATTTTCAAGAAAAGTGGTCACGGAACCAAACAACAAGAGCATTTCTTTTCTTGATTTTTTTTCTGACCAGTCCATATCTATTGCTCTGTTTCATCTGAAGTAGGGTCATCACAGAACCAGACAAGAGCGTTTTTTTTATTGATCTTTCCAGCATCTATGAACACAAAACTTTAAACAGGTCAGTGTAAAAATATTTGCTATAAAATACTAACCCCCTCCATCAATTTCTGAAAATTACAGCAAAAACATTTAAAGGGACAAAAACAAGGATCTAGATTGATTTCCTTATCTTTATCTGGTCGATTTTCTGAACATGCCTTACCAGTTTTAATCTTGCAGGGGATATTTTGTCTATGTTAATGGGCTCTCTAGCTTGTACATCTTCAAATGTCACTTCAGGAATAGCCATAGCACACACAATATGTGCCCAACGCCCATTTGTGGTTTGCTTGAGAGCGCCTCCACGAAGATTACATAAGCAACATTCCTGCAAATAAGACGCCACAAACAGATGTGTATTATGTGGTGGCAAGTAAGAAACAGCAAAACACTCTTCGAAATTCCTGCATCAATACATAATTAACTTACTCAGTTGTAAAAACATTTTCCATCCTCAACTGCTGATCGATTTTTCTCTTAAGATTTGCATTAAGCAGAATAAAACTGGGTGACGGTAACTAGTATGGGTTTGCCTATTATTCATCCAAAATGGCCAAAATTCTACAAGATCAATATTCACTGATAGAGACAGCATCAATATTATCATTTTTTTTTTACACCTTCTTATATTAAAAAAAAATGGTAAGAGGTGTACAATGTGCAGTGACTAAAAGTATCCTGCATCCCTTTTCTTCACTCCTAGTAACCCCTAACCAACCTCAATCCTCCAAAATCCTCATGGCAGTTTTGAAAGATTATGGAGGATTGAGGATAAACAGTGTTTAAGAAACATGAGGTTTTTGGAAGATATAGAATGAGTGGTGTTTGAAAAGGAGGATTATTTTGGAGGATTGAGAATGAATGCATTTTTTGAGGCAGGACTGTCTGACGATGTTGAAGGATTGAGTCGCTGAGTATCCTTCACTTGAACATAGGTGCAAAATTTTGGAGGATTTTGGAGGATTGAGGATGGTTCCTAGCAAAAAGGGCTTAGGGTGTTTGGGTTAAGCCACAGGCCCCAGCTCTTGATCTTTGTGCCAATGACATCAGTATTTGTTATCTCTGTTTCAACATTATTGATTTCTAAACCTGCGGATCATTATTGCCATTATTTCAAGCTAATGTAGTTTTTAATCAGTTGTGCTTACACTTAACTTTAACAGGATGGATATCTGTCAAACATGTACATATAAACATGAACATACATGAACACTGCTGTCAGTCCTGTCCTACATATTCAGCATTAACACTTACTGCCAGATAATCCTGCTCTTTACATCGTCTGCATTTCCATGAGTCAGACTCGCTCCCAGACTCACCATAACAACCTGAACAAAGGAAAGACAGAAGGAAACAATAATATTAATGATCTAAGCCTTTGCAGAGCATCCAATGTGTCTACTTTAGTAATGCATTTTAAATTGTAACAAAAGGAAAAAAAGGCCTTTATATATTGCGTATATATGCAACCTTCTGGAAAAGGCTTTAACCCTAACTCCCTAGGCTATGATGCAACCTCAATTCTGCAAAGTCCTCCAACTGCCTCCGTATAAAACTTGCATACAGCCTCAATCCTGCAAAATCATCTGTTAATTATACTTGAACGTGGTCCTTGGAGGGGCGACTACTGCCTCAATCCTGCAAAAGCCTCCAGCAATCACTGTCAATATGTTGAGGCAGAGCCAGTTACATCCTGGAGCAGTGCGGAGGACTTTAAGTATAATCTACATGTAGGCCTAAATCTATGCCAGCTGAGCATAAACAACACAAGGTCCGGCCTAAGACCTTGACACAGTGCATCCTCCAAAATCAGCCACACATTTTTGTCACAGAGCCGCAATCCTGCAAAATCCTCCATTTTGCAAAGAGGATTTGGGAGGATTTGGGAAGGTCAGGATTAATTGAAGTTGCTTTTGCACAGAGACAGATCTGACCTGTGAGCAGATATAACCAATTCTAGGAGGGGAGCCAAATAATTGTTCAGCCAAAACCAATTAAAAATCATTAAAGTTATTATTACACAACTTAATTGATTTTATTTGTCAATCTCACATTCTAAAACTGAATGACTTTGGTCTTGCGAGGAAAATAGCAACTTACAAGCAAAAATTATTTTACAGGGTGAAAATGAAAAATGGTATGGACAGAACATCTCCAAAACTTAACACCACAATGAATTTTGTAAAAAAAATTAAAATGAATATGTTTTTGTAAATGTTACATCAGTATAGCTCTTCTGAGTTTTCTCTCTTGTATGGCCCTGCCCCTACTTACATTTACCTTCATTTTCAAATCCTGTAATGATTCTGAAGGATTTGTGGTACAAGATTTGAGGCTTTACAAGGTGGGGTATCGGTATCGTTTCGGTTTGCGGTAACACCATGTGGTAATAACTACTGCTTAGAAGATATTAGTTCTGAGAAGAACTTGTCCTGCTTGTTATCAACTTTGCTAAGTAGTTTTTGTTCTGTTAAGAACAGATTTGTGGTACCTTTAGAGTTTATTCCAATGCAAAGTTCATGTTCATGAGCAAACAGTAAGTAGGAAGAAGCTTCAGTGTCATAGCTTCTTCCACACATCGTTGCTACACACAGTATGCGAAAAGTGTGTATGTAACTGTATTCAAACTGTGGGCCTTGAACAATATAGAATAGTGTCCACAATTTGGCGAAGGTCCACTTTTGAGGTGTGTTTACAAAACATATGGGAGGTCCTCAAAAGTTGAAGAATAAATAAACAAGGGACAATAGTGATTTCAATAGTGAATGAGAATTGAGGATTGAAATTTCAAACAGCACTAATGGCATGAGAATCAGTAAAGAGAATCAGGAAAAAGGATGACCATCCTTTCCAGTTGAATTACTCTATCGGTTTCCAAATGAGGTACAACAGACACATTTAGTACATACACATGTAAAATGTTCCTGTCGAACAATGGTATAAAATCCTAACTCTCCATGGTGTGTGTGTGTGAAAAGTCATGCTAAAACTGGGGCTAACAAGATTCATTGACTTGATTTGGGGAGTCAGGTTGGCGTGGGGAGTCAGGTTGGCACAGCAGTACTTTCCTCGCCTTCCACCGCTGTGACCCGGGTTCGAATCCCGCCTGGGCCAATATGTGGATTGGGTTTTCAGTCCCTGCCTGATTCCGTGGGTTTTCCCCAGAATATTCTTCTGGGCTTTTCCTCCCACCTCCCAAACTGTAACTTCTTCTCATTGTCTTCTCTCCACAGGTTTCTTCAGGCTTGCGAGCTACAGTGCCTAGGGCGCTTTTGAGGAATCCTTGGTTTCTTTACCAGAAATGATTAATAATAATAATAATAATGATAATAATAATAATGTAAACTCACTTGCATGAACTGCGATCTTGCACTGGTTACAGTGCAGCAGTACACTTCGGCCTTCAGAGGTCAGTGCCATGTTTCTACAATCTGGGAATCGATTCTCACTGGTTGCAGCAAAACACATCTCTGGTGTTAGAACAAGTGTATGTCGGTCAATGGAAGCACCTTGCCCTGTCAGACTACTGCATGCTGTTTTATTGCTATCCCAGTCCTTACCATCAAGCTATATAAGAAGTAAAGCAAGAAAAGATGGAGTACAAAAGACAATTGGAATTTTAACATACTGTATGTTGATGTAGGGTTTCCACCCTGAACATTAATAATGGAGGCCAAACTGCCAGTACATGTACGAGTCGATCACACTTTCAATAATGCAATTTGGTTGATTTTCAGGTACTTTTGGCCCAAAACCCTTTTCATTGTTGAGCCTGTGTAAATTCCATTTGACACACAATGTATGATTCTGTTGAGTTTGTCTTACATACGCAGTGTGGACTTCCGAACAAAAGACGTCCACATAATGTAGGTAGCACCGACGTTGTGTGGACTTACCCCACGTCCACACAGTGTTTCCCCATTTCTGGAAAACAGGTTTAGAGGCATTTTTGGGTTAGGTTTATCTGTAGCAGAATGAAGAGAAACACTAAAGGGAATCATAGAAAAAAAATTGGGTTGAAAGAGTTTTCACAGTTTGAGAAAAATGAGTTTTTTCACTGGTTTTTCTTAACTACACGAAAGCAATGGAAAGTCCACACTAGTCATGTGAAACAAGTATGGGTGCACTCATATGTGTGTGTGTTGTGCGTGTGATGAATAACTGAGGATGACCTATGGGTCATAACTATGCAATGGATAGTGTTTATTCATATTACGGCGCTTTATATCAGGTACCGTATTCACATGTTACACATGATGTTACACATGATGTTACACATGATTAGGCAGATATATGTGAGGCATTTTGGCAAAAAAAGATAGAACTGGGCACAGGCTGTTGTGGAGAAAAAAGGAAAAAAACGAAAGGGGGTGAGTGTTTTGGGGGGATTTTCAGATTATTTGTAATCTTTGATGTCTACTAGTATAAAAAGTGTGGAATGAAAGTGTTTTAAAGGATTAATAATTGGCATCTTTCATTTTCATGACTACAAAACTTGAATTTGAAACTTTTTCTCAGTATTGTAGATGATACGTCTGATTGTAGTGCAACAAACAGTCTTGTTAGAATATTTTTATTTCTCTTTCCTAATACTCACAAACCCTCATTTTGACCTTTGCCCAGTTCTGTCTGATTTTTTGCCAGAATGCCTGGCATATTATTCTGGAGTTGGACGTTTTTTCTATGGTACCCTGTACTGAACCAGTGCTCACATACTGTAGGCTATAACCTGAAGGCTGTTGGATGAGTGAATAACAATCAAATTTACAAGGACAGCCTCCAGGCGAGGGACAGCCTCCAGGTGAGGTGAAGCCTTGTATTGAATATGCAGAAAATGCTCTGTAAACAGGTTTAATATGCGGTCTGGCTGACTGCTGGATTTAAACAGGCATTGAAGTATCAAGAAAAGTGATGAAAAGGTACTGTGGGAAGACAACTTGAACAAGGATGATTCACCAGTTCACGTCGGATGATGTGTAGGCCTATACACGCAAAGGTTTTGTGGTATTCAGAACGGATGACAGATAAACACGTAACGAGCGAGGCCGGGAATATCTGTCTGCGTCCCGCTCACAGGGAGCGAGGCCAGAAATATCAGGGTGTGCTACCCACAGATGACGGCCTGAACCCGTCTGGCATCGACGTTCGTGAAAAACAATCCCGCGCCTGGGTCTGGTCGATGTCAAAATATTCCCGATTCAAACTTGTTAAGAAACCCACCTTCTCATTGTAGAACAGCATACAAATACAGCAGCCTGGTCTCTGGTCCGCCATGGACAAGTTATATGCAAGCTCCATGTCATAGCTATGTGGCTGGGTCACCCACAGACCATTCATAGAACGAGCCCAAACTTTCATTGTGGCAAACTCTTGTGAAGTGAAATCTAACCAAAAGAAAAAATGAAAGAGAAAGTGCTATTATCAGGCATGCAACTTGGAAGAAAGGAAAAACGAGGAAACTTCAATCTTTACAAGACTTTGTACAGTGATTTTCAATTTTGAATGGCATAAGTGTGAAGTGAAAAACAAGGAAATCAGCTGATCCGAGGAAAAGTTGCATGCCTGTACTATGTACATTTGCATAGTTAGATGCTATGACAGACACAAAATAAACTCTGTATACAAGCTACTGAGATCAGAGTTTGGTGGCGTTTGCCTAATTTCGTAGGCAGTGACACAAATAATGACACAAATGGATTTTGAGGCAAATGTAGTACCATTCATTTCAATCACTATTTAAATTTGCATTCCCTGTGCTATTTTCGAGTTTAAAGAGGTTGTGAAATGCTCGAAGACATTTCTGTCATTTTTCGGGTATATGTAGCCTAAGGTGTGATGAAATAAAAACGACTATTGTGTCTGTCATGAAATGAGTACAAAAGGTACTTTTGAGAGCTGTTTTTCAGGTCCTGTTTCGACCCCAACGTGCAATTTGTGTAAAAGTCGTCGTTGGGGGCAGCAACCAAAACATAGTAAATCGTGACGTAATAAACAGGACTCGTTTATACTACGCTGCATCCTTTAAATTTCGTTCAGAAAAGAAAATTGAAATTTTGAAAAAGCATGTATATACCAACTTTAAAGTAGCATACACAATAGTTTATCCATTGATGGGGGCCTTGTGAATGTACAGTAATCAAGTACCCGGATCTGTCAATACATAACATTAATTCCAGTGTTGCTGAAAAAGAACAAAACTCTGCATCACTCAATATGTCATGTGTCGTGTCATAATACTAGATCTACAAGTATATCATGGTTTCCTCAACACCTTTTTCCTTATGATGAAAATGTTTTAGAAGGTAGGAGAGTTAGCCATATAAACAGATAAAGAGATGCCATTAACCCTAACCGCCCTGAATCCTCCAAAATCCTTTTTGCAAATTGGAGGAATTTGCAGGATTGAGGTTACATGGCAAAAGTGCGTTGCTGATTTCGGAGTACGCACTGTGTCAAGGTCTTGGACCGGACCTTGTGTTGTTTATGCTCAGCCGTGCATAAATTTAGCCCTTGATTATACTTGACATCCTCCGCACTGCTCCAGGATGTCACTGCCTCTGCCTCGGCCTATTGACAGTCATAGCCGGAGGATTTTGCAGGATTCAGGCAGTGGTCATCCCTCCATGGACCATATTCAAGAAATAGCGGAGGAATTTGCAGGATTGAGGCTATATGCTATTTTTCCATGAGGCCAATTGGAGGATTTTGCAGGATTGAGGCTACATCCTAGCAAAAAGGCCTAGGGAGTTAGGGTTAATGTCTGTATAATTAGTGCATTTTTATGTCCATGGGCAATGATAAAAGATTTTCAGGCACCCCAGGACATTTTGCAAAAAAAGTACATCCAGTTATGAAATTGACATCAAAACGTCTGCAAGATATCAGTCTAGAAGCTCACATAGGCTCGGCATAAAAAAAAACAGACAAACTCCCCTTTCTCCCTAGCCCCAAAATAGTCTATGTAATAGGAATGCCGTGGTCTATTACGCGTGAACAGATTCGCTGATTACTTAGGCAAGACCCCACCTCTTGACCGCCTATATTTTGACCAATCAGCTTTCTATATCGGGTCTTCGGTCATTCATCCGTTGCGCGTCATAGACAATGGATTTTTTAAAAATGTGTCACGCACTCTGTATGTTACGCGATATCGCGCCCGGCTGTTGTTGTATTACAAAACACTGCTTTCAAATTGACCAATCACACCATTTAGTCCTGATTTAGAAATGAAATGACGTCACGATTTAGTAAAGTCGACTCCGATTGGCTGGCGCACAGCTTGCATATATGTATATGTCTAGATATATCAGATGTTATACAGGATTTGGCTCCCTGGATAACGGCTGATTCTCAGACTAGCCCCAAAAGGGCAAGGGGAGAAAATGGTACCAAAAATGGGTCCTACTTGATCCAAAAACATATCTGATTTCTATTCAATGCAATGATCTTCAGAACAAGCACAAAGCTTGCCATCCAAAAAGAGTTTGTCAGTTTTGTTACTGTTTTCCCAAATCTATCCATTACCGTGCTTTGCTTTTCCCTTTGGTCCTGAAGTCTTGGCAGCTGCTTTGCTCTTTGATGTTAACTCCATGCAATTCTGATCTGCCATTTTATCTGCTGACTTGGATAGCAACTCTTGCATACATCCTTCATGTTTAACTTTTGTTCCAGCTTTGTCTGTTGATAAGTAGCCCAGTTGTTCCTCTGTAGTATTTGTCTCGGTCTTTGTAGATTTTTCTACAAGTTTATTCAGCTTGATTTTCTTGTGGTTGGATTTGTTTCTATGAAGGTCTGGACTGCTGGTCGTCTGGCTGGTTGTTCTGGATTGCTGGTTGCTTGGGCTGCTGCTGTATGCATGCTCCCTTTTTACTCCATCTTTCAGCTTCAGCAATGCAGTTTTCTGGGATTTGAGTTTCTTTTTCTTTCTTGCTTTCTCCTGTTCCAACAGTAACCCTGTTTTCTGTGGTTTTACTTTTGTCTTCTGATGGGAATATTTACCACTCGCTTTCAGAAGGCCATCATTAGAGGTAAAAACATTCTGATGGTCTTCAGTTTGATTGTGTATGCCAACTCCTGCACTTACATGTATGGACATCTCTGCAGCTGGTTTCGTTTCTCTCATTAGTTTACTTTCTTTATTTTTTGACTTGGATTTCTCTTTCGTACATTTTGGATGTTTCTTTTTTGACTTTGCATTGATTCTCTCCGAGTCCAAATGCTCAGTTCTAGATTCCTTGTATTTGTGAGAAAGCTTTTTTTTCAATTTTGAATCCCCCTTTCCAGAATTGGAGGTCTTTTTCTTGGCTTTTAGAGTACTGCTTTCTGAAAGGTCAGGACTTGGTGATGGCAGCTCATTGCGAGGTATTTTTGGTTTAGGCTCCTCACTCTCATTGACAATATCTTCTTGTACAGTTGTTTCCAAGCTGCTCAAGACCCTTGGCACATCACTGTAAGTGACTGTAGTAGCTGCTTGCAAAGGTTCTATCTCAATGCTTACAATTGGGGTTGTAAGCGATGCAGTCTGTTGTTGCATGATTAATGTTGTCTGCACATTGGATTCCTCATCTTCCTTATGCAACTCTTTATGGTTACGTTTTCGTTGACTTGTTGTTCCTGTCTTGACACGTCTCCCATCCTTTTTGTGCAGTGGTTGACGTCTGGTCTTGAGCGGCATTCCATCATCATTGGATTTTCTAGGACTTAAAAATAAGAACAAAATGATGGGGTGATTTCCAGGTATTTAAACTACCAGGATCTGGGAACAGATTTGCCTAAAAAAAAAAAAGGTTTCAATTTCTTCTGCATACAAATCAAAGGTACAAAGCAATACTGTCAAAAAGTCCCTTGCATTTAGCACGTACATTCAAAGTAAGTTTTTATATTAAGTAGTTAGATGACCTGTACGTCATTGCGGGAAGTGTGAGAAGGATTTTTTTGTCCAAGGGACTTGTGGGAGCTTTGTGTCGTTGCTATGGTAGGTCTTTGTCTTGAAAGTGTGGCAGAAGGCTTGACAGTTTTAAAAGCACCAATCGCCATGCTATCAAATGATTGCCCTGCAGTTTTAATGCCCTCCGATTTGTGTAACTTTACCAAATATATTTCTGCTTGTGTGAGGCACACAGAAAGATCACATTCCTTATTTACTAGCAAGAGAGATGTTTTGTGACAGTGAGTGTACTTGAATTATTTCAGTCATTCATGTTAATAAGATATTTTCCCACCTAATGACATATTTATTGGAGATAAATAGCAGTAGTTTGAAGATGTTAGATTTTGAAAGATACACATTTCAAAATTCAAGGACGATGTACAATCAATGATCCGTAACTATCAAGACTTATAGTATAGCGTCCATGACCTTGATGTGTGACCTTTGACATCATTATCATTTGAAGGTTCCCATGTTGCATCTATGACCCAAGTGGTTCCAATTAGACTTAAACTTTTCAAATGAGACCAATTTTACATGTTCAGCCTATTATGCAGCTTGACCTCATATAACCTTTGACCTTGGTATTCAACCTTGACATCAAGTTTTAAGAAGGTTATAACAGAAATCATGGTAGCATTTCCAGGATCCCATTAAAAAAAGGTCTATTGCATTGGCCCTTTCAAAGTGTTAGTATCGCCATCAACAGAAAGGTATTACTCTTGCTGTGTTTCAAACATCTCCACTTTTTAATATCTTGCAGTATAAACAAATTTAAATAACAGTTCCATGGCATGTGCATTACAATGTACATTACAATGCAGTGCGAGATGGCTGGCAATTTTGCTGTTCATATCACAGCCTGGAAATCCCCCACCCCCTCTCACAGAAGTGTGGACTGATTCTACTAGTGAGGAGCTACCTACAGATCATTACTACATATGCAATATTTCCTAGACGGCGTTAGCCATTTCCCACAGTACCTTGCATTTCATCTGACATGACACATCCCCTTTTCTGGAGGGTACAAGTGCATAAGTAAATGCGGAAGTGAGAGTGGGGAGGCGGGGCGGCGCTCTACTGGTAAGTACTTGTTAGTAGAATCAGCCCACAATTCGGGGGGGGGGGGGGGGGGGGGACGGGAGATTCTACTGTGTTCAAAACCTGTAAAGCATTACCACATATGCTGAATAGCACTATAGGCAGATGGGTTTGAGACTACAACATAACGTGTACAAGCTGGTACGATCCTACAATAAAAGTACCATCCGCTGATCAGAAAGCGCCCTCATGAGACAGTTTCCTGAGCATTGATGTCATAATGGTACATCACGATTGGATCTTAATGACTTGTGAAATATTCGTCACAGGAGCAACGTGAGCTTATTGGCTTGCACCATATTTTACCCACAATCCTGTACGTATGGTCTGCATAATGCAGTGACAAGATGATCGTTTTTTTTTCCCCAGAGGTTGCCTTTTTTTAAATTTGCGGAATGGGAAGTGCCGATATCTTACTTTCGGTGAATGTTGCGAAAGCAATGTTTGGATTAGGAATTCACAAGATCTTGGAAGAATTATTTGTGTGGTACGAGCTAAAATGATAATTTTGGGATTTCATATTTCTAAGTTTGGATTCGTTTCAATCAGGTTACGAACAATGAAGGTAACATTCAGACTTTTTTTAATGGTGCAGGAATCGTTTGGGGGTAATAAAGTGTTGGTGGAAAATTGTTGATCTGGTGTGTTTTCATTCTTTACTTCACCTATTGATGACCGTAATTATGTGCTTTCAGATTAGGTCTGAAAGACAGAACAAAAAGCTTTTGTGTGTTTTTTTTGCACAAAATGGGTCGCTAACAAATTTTTTTTACGCAACGGGGTTGCCAAACCTTTCGTTGTAACAGAAATTTCATACTGTCCATTTTCGTCTTTAGCGAATTTCTTCCCATAGAAATTTGCACAATTTTGCTAGGACCGAAGATATGAGTTTGTTAGAACCGGAATTTCTAACTGTTTTCATAATAACGGGAGCTGACTGTACATAGTGCCTACCAACAAATGTGTTCCTGGGCAATTCTTTGCGTTTAATAGTGAGCCAGTATAAAAGCTGAGAGATAGCGTATGAAGTTGGAAGCATACAGCTGTAGAATACCCAGTTGAATATGCCACAATGTGTAGCCATTGGGAGTATTTCTGCATAAATCCGTGCTTGCAGTTGAGCAGTGTGCTGCTGATTGAGCTATGATCACGCACACAACCATAGATGGCTGTAAGGAATGCCTATGGTCCGACAACATGGATGTCAAAACATTCGATAGCTCATTTAATACTGAACCATGGCAGCAATTTCGGAGATCAGTCAAGGCAACTGGTTAGAAACGGTCATGCAATATGGAGTGTGTGCTCTGCCGCAATGGGGCGAAATGTCATCCCATACCTAGGCGGAAAAATGAGGATAGGTCCAGGCTGATGCCACATAGGCATATCGTGACAGATAGTATAGTCTATAGAATAGTATATTCTATAGTTCTATAGAAAAATATGTCTTTCCTGCTGCACGCGCTAAGAGAAAAGTGGATGTGTCATGGCTTTCACCCTCTGGAGACATTGCATGTAGTAATGCTCTACCGGTAATGAACGCAGTAAAAACTGCAAAGTTGAAAATAAAGTAACCATCTTCATTCAGATTTCAGACATTCAGTTGATGAACAAACAGTTTGATTTGATGGGGCTCCATGGCTACCAGAAGTAACACATTGACAATATTTACCTGTTATACTCCATGACATTTTGGGACTGCATTCCACTACTAGGTTTGTCAATATCCTCGATGTAGACCATGTCTTTACCCTGCTTCCATGCATCATAGCGATGTGGTTGGAAGATCCTGATGAATGGTTCCATGTTGATTTTTACCGAGTCCCTCTGACAGGAACACTGTTGATACAATCAGCAAACTTTATGTAAGCACAAGTAAGGTGTATCCCCGGTATGTTGGTCAAACTAAATGAGGTGTGAGATTGTACAGGTCCTTTTGAAACCAGGTCCCTGTTGAATTAATGGCCAGGTACTCAAGGAACCATTCATTAAAAACATAAACACACAAGTATGGTGTTTCCTACAATACGTGACCCACACATTAGTGCAAACCTGTCTCTAAGACAGCTGAATTGAAACAAAAAATCCCAAGACAGAACTTATCAGAGACTGGATTCAATGCAAGTATTCCTTGGAAGAAAGGCATCAGCAACTGATCAATAACATCTTGTGTTTCCCTATCAGAAGAGTTATGTCAGAATGAGCAACACAAGGTTTCTGTTATCAAAACCAAAAATGTTTTTGACTGTGTACCTGCCATTTTGGTCGGATATTGGGTACTGGTGTTTCTGTCCAGCACTAAACTAAATACATTAAGGTGTACCTACATGAACAGGCACTTTTACAACACCAACAATGTATACCATGTTACAAGATTTCACTGATCGAAACCTGCTCCAGTCACATTTTCATGTATGACCACTCAAGTACCCCTTGAACATCACCTGGATCGTTCTTGGAATACTCTGGAATATTGTAATCCCTGTTGCTTTCTACAAACACTAGAACAGACCCTACGCACAAGGTAGGTAATGTTTCACTGGGCGTATATGTCAACACAGACCAACCCATATGCTACAGACATGTTCACTAACATCCACAAGGCACTGATTTGGTAATCTTATTGATTATTACTACTAGTTACAGACTGGAAAAAAATACATGTATAACATCCCTAGAAGGAGGAAACTGCATGAAGTACAAAGTATACATACACATTTTGCCCTCTTTCCAAAATCAATCCAACGAAGTGAAGCAAAGTTGGTTGACTCGGCACAGTTATAGCCATGGTTATAGCCAGCATGGTAACCATAAGGGAAAGTAACCATGAACTCTCCTGTTTCTTGTGTTATCTAAGAATAAAACAAATTATGTATTTAATCCTTTAACCTCATATAAACTAATCAAAACAACTTTAGTACAAAAACAATCTGGTAAACTGGAACTGAGGAGTCATTGCATAAACGGAAATAAAGGATGGTCTATAATCATCTTCAGTACCAAACTTCAACCAATTTTGCAGTAGCTATGACAAATTTATATGTACATAACTGCTCTGGAGAACCAACTTTTACATTTTGAGTGGCACACGACAGAGGTTTCCAATGAAAATCTAAAAATTTAAATTTACAATCTGATAACTGCACAATAATCTCATATTGCACACAATATTTAGGATGCTTGTCAGTAAAGTTGTCCCTTTTTGCTCTGAACACGTATCAAGCCCTCAGCAATGATATACAGGGTGAGTAAAAAAAAAGCGGAACCCAAACCCCAACAATTATATTTCATATTTAAAAAATGTGGCACCCAAAGTAATATTGACTGGCAAGCCAATTTCATAAGGTACTTTTAGATGAAAAAAAAATACTGAAATTGCTCAATCCGTTCAAAGAATATTACCATTTAAACACAATGACCTTAAAACCTCTTTTGATCAAAAATGCAATTTCAAGACTCGTCGTCACAACTGTCTCCTAATATCACCAGCGATAAAACCTCAGTTTAAAAGTTGAAAATATTCAACAAAGTCCTTTTGAAGGCCCGTCTGATCAAAAAAGGGATATTATAAATCATATTGTTTGCCTAACCAGGGTTATTAATAAAGATATTTTGTACTACAGCTGTTTACAGTTGTTAAAGCAAGTATTCTGTGTCATTTTCTTTGTTGTTCCAAACAGTACAAATACACAATAAACTGCTTTTTTTTGGACGAAACAGATTTTAGGGTCATTGCATTTACATGGTAATATTCTTTGAACGGATTCCGATTGAGCTATTTCAGCAATTTTTTTAACCTAAAAGTAGCTTATGAAATTGGCTTTTCAGTCATTATTTTGTTTGGTGCTAAATATTTTTTTTCAAGATGAAATATAATTTTGGGAGTTTGGGTTCCCCTTTTTTTGACTCACCCTGTAAGAAAAGAATACCAAATGCAGGCTAAGGTAAATCATAACAAAAAATTAAACATGAACAAAATGCAGTTCTATACTGCATTTGTAAGATTTGTATTTTCAACCTTTTGATTTACTGTTTACTTTCAATTCTCACACAATGCATTAATTTGGAAGTATTACTTTAATTAACTGAAGACTGACCTTGTCATATGGGATTGAGTACTTCTTCAATATCTGTGGTGAGATCAATGTCATCTTGTGTCTTAGAAAATTGGGACAAATTTGAAAGCTCTGTGGGAAAAAACCTGTAGCAAAAACAAGGATCAATGCAACTTCAAAATAAATCAGATAATACGAAAAGAATTTTTCATTGTATCTACTACCGGTATCTGCAAAATGTGGTTTCAAACTTCATGAACATTTGTATAGCGAGGTCAAAGTCCACACTGATAACCAAGTCAACTTTTAATCAACAAGTTAAAAAAAAAATTAATCAAACAAAAATAATAAACATTTTTAATCCTGTTGTCTTGTCTGTCTTCCAAAATGCCACTCGACAACATTTTCAATTGAAACTACTTGCATTTATTTGTTGGCCAACTTACATGTACATTCATTATTTCGAAAAGAAACCAGTGTTATTTTACAAGTTTCCTTCGCAATTCACCATCGCGGTGATAAAAACATATGCGTAATGATTTGTTTGATGCAAACAACAGACATTTCTATGACGTTTGTGGTAAAATTGGTGATAACCATAAAGTGATACTTGTCAAAAGGAATGTACATTACATGCTTTTGCTACAATTTTCAGAAATAAATGGATTTGGAGGATTAGTATGTTATAGCAAATATTGTTAAACTGACTTGTTTCACTTTTTGGGCTTGTAGATGCTGGAAAAACCAAGAAAACCAATCATGTTCTTGTAGTCTGGTTCCCTGACCTCACTTAAGATGAAACAAAGCACTTTATAGACTATGAGGAATTGTAAGGTCAGAGAATCAGTCTAGCTGGCTTGTACTCTTCCACAGGTGTGTAATCAATTGCAAAGAAAATGCGGAATAACTACATTTGAAAAATTAGGAGCACTTTTTGAAGAAAAAAAAAACAGTTTTCTCCAACGCTGGTCAGCCGACCAGCGTTAGAAAAAAATAAAACTTTATTTGAAATTGTCAGCACCCCAGGAGTTACCATTTTACAGGATGCTTAGACTGTTATTCCCTAACAATCCAGTAAGGTATTTCATGATTGTGATCATTTCGTTTTTGGATGTTTGCAAATATTGTATCTTCCCTTTCAACAAAAACAAAACACCATTATATCATTTATGGAACAACTGGAACAATTTGTGTTACCTTAGCAGCTCAACACCAGAACAACTCACCGCTCTGAATATATTCTGACCTAAAGTTTTGATATCATTTTTATTGAAGCGTAATATTTGATTTCTTTTTTCTTTCCAAGTGTTCAGATATTTTTCTTTAAAGGTTTCTTTAATTATGTTTACTTGGGTCTCATCCCTTTAAAGTGCATACTTTTTTATACCATTTGTGTTCGTGCACAGTGACCTGAAGTAGATTTGTTCTGTGATTGATTATAAATACATTTTTAATCGATTAATTAACCCTCCTATGTAAACAGTCACAGGCAGTCAAAAATTCACTTCCACTAGTCACCAGCAACCAGATCATAATTATGTCAAGCAAGCACTGTGACTAGTCAAACTGGGTCAAAAGACAAAGCAGGCAAGTCAAGATACAGCTCTTTTATCACTCACCTGGGGTCAAGGCGTAGCTGTATCAAGTTACTTAAACAGTCCCAGCTGGTCATTCCTACTTTATGTAGGCTGAGAATTCTTAACTGTTGAAAACAGTCGCTTGTTTGATTTTGACTGAAAGGACTACTTGGCACAGAATGTATGTTTGAATAGGAGGGTTAATACTGCAATAAGGAATATTTTGCCACACAACAAGGAAGCAGGAGGCCCTTTTTTCCCCTTCAAAATGGCCGCCTGAACGGGCTTTTTTTTTAAAGATGGCCGCCACTTTTTTTAAATGGCCGCCATTGGACTCAGGAAAAGACACACCAGCTTTATATGGGCTACATGCAACAGACAAATAAGCAAAAATGTCCATCTTTTGAAAATGATGTCACTGTTGAAAATGTATCATTTTTGGGGTAAAAAAAAAAAAAAAGGTGGCCTCCAAAAAGGAAACGGGCGGGGACGCTAAACATATTTTTAATTTTTTATTATGAAGTTAAACTTTTAAAAAAAGGAAGGATTTTTTTTTTCAAACTCAGGCAAACGTGTACGAAGAATACGTGTACGATTAAAGCTTGTGGTTGTGTTGTTAAGGATCACAGTTAGATTGTATACACAGCTGAGATTGTATGTTGCTTACCAGATGCAAGTCTTTCTAACCTCTTGGCATGCTCTGGCGGAATCCCATACCTGCAGAATCAAGACATTCTCTATTCAGATCTGACATTACACGTTAATGTTTAGTTATTACCTATGTTTAGTTGTATGTATCTGGAGCAGCATCAATCTGTAAAAGCACAGTGGGAACAGCATGTGTTCCTGAAATATATAGAAACACTCAAATGCATGAATATTACAGCATTCTGACTTGGAGATATTTTAAAATACATATTGATTAACAGCTAACAAATCCTTCACTTTATGTTCGAGCATTCATGAAGATAATCTCCAGTTGGCCACTCAAAACAAACGATTGTTTGGAAGGGCTACCCCGACCACTTCATATTCTTGACTGAAACAGTGATCCTGTTACATAAAAATGTCTGCAAAAGGTCAGTGCAATATGCTGGATGCTTGATGAGAGTTCATGGACTACTGACTCTTGCACATACTAGTGCTGAGAAATGCTGGACGCATTCTTGTTAAACGTATTCTGTTCAATAACATCTGTTGAAAAACATCTGTTGAAAAACATCTTCTGTAACAATTGCATACGTAACAGATAATGAAACATGTGTTTAACCCTAACTCCCTAGGCCTTTTTGCTAGGATGTAGCCTCAATCCTGCAAAATCCTCCACTTGGCCTCATGGAAAAATAGCATATAGCCTCAATCCTGCAAATTCCTCCGCTATTTCTTGAATATGGTCCATGGAGGGATGACCACTGCCTGAATCCTGCAAAATCCTCCGGCTATGTCTGTCAATAGGATGAGGCAGAGGCAGTGACATCCTGGAGCAGTGCGGAGGATGTCAAGTATAATCAAGGACTAAATTTATGCACGGCTGAGCATAAACAACACAAGGTCCGGCCCAAGACCTTGACACAGTGCGTACTCCGAAATCAGCAACGCACTTTTGCCATGTAACCTCAATCCTGCAAATTCCTCCAATTTGCAAAAAGGATTTTGGAGGATTCAGGGCGGTTAGGGTTAATATTCAATTCACGCATTCTAGATCTACATTTTTAACAGAATGATAAACACACGGGTCAAAGGTCTTTAAAAAATAGCAGAACAGTAGGCTTACCAGGATTTAGGGGCTCCAAAATGCAGGTAGTTAATACTGTACAGATCCATGTCTTCTGTATGCCAGGCAAATGTGGTCTTCCACATTCCAAAGTACAGATATGCAGTGTTAACTCCTTCGATTTTCACACCTTGTGGGGAAGATTTCATATAAATAAATGAATATAAGACAAGATAAGTTTGCGGTAGCACCATGTGAATAAATCTCTTTTGTGAGTATGTGTGGTTCTGAAAACAATGAATATAGCTAAACTTGTTCACCCCTTTTTTGGGGGGGGGAGGGGTGTTATAATTGGATGCACTACAAATTAGAAATTTAGACACAGGAACAGAATAAAAAGTCACAGGACAGCCATCTGTGTATATTTACCTAGATGCAATGTAATGTTCCTGAAGTACTGCTTCTTTACTAAGTAATTGCTATGTATTTTATGTTCAAGGATATTCCTAATAAATAACGTTATGTTTAATCATCTCTTGCACAGGCTGGCACCAGGGTTGTAGTTGAGTACTTTTTTTTTTTGTACCGAGTACTTTTTCCCGAGTACCGAGTACTGCCAAGTACCTACGTTGCCAAGTACGAGTACAAATTCCTGTACTTCCGAGTACAAGTTCAGGTCTCAGAGTACATGTACGAGTACTTGTACTTTCGAGTGCTTGTATTCCGAGTATGAGTACTTCTATTTCTGAATACGGCCATACGGCAAATGGTTCATTGTGCATAATTGGCCCAGGCCCAGTCAGACTGATACACATACCCACTCATGGCTAGCTTTTATATGTGTTTGTTCGGACTTGCACATAGAAAAATCAGGAAACTTTGATTTCTCTACAAGCCAATCAACCATTTCCAACTGAAAGTATCAATAATAAAATAAGGCTGTGGTAAGTCAAGCTATACCATTCCCCCCCCCCCCCCAAGTACTGCTATTCAAGTACCAGTACTTTGATGATCGAGTACAATTTTGACATGTCGAGTACGAGTACAGTCGGCTCCCGTTATAGCGAAAACAGTTAAGACGAAATTCCGGTTATTACAAACACGTCTTTGGTCCCGGCACATTTGTGCACATGTCTATGGGGGGAAATTCGCTTAAAGACGAAAACGGACAGTACAAACTTCCCGTTATTATGAAAGGTTTTGACGACCCGTTGAGTAAAAAAGCATTGTTAGCAACCCATTTATTACGAAAAAAAAACACTAAAACCACAAAAGCTTAAGTTCATGGCTTTTTTTCTTTCTTTCAGACCTAATCTGAAAGCAGCATAATTACGGTCATCAATGGGATTAAGTCAGTTATTTAATCTTGCCGACACTGTGGTACGTTCACTAATCGCCGGCTGCGGTTACCAACAAAGGCCTGTGAAAGCAAGCTAATGATACCGGTACCATGATACAACGACGCCTACACGGCAACAGAAGAAACCACAAGCCGGGAACAATCACCGAGTACGTGACATCTTCTGCACCCAAGCTGACATGGACCACAAGAGCTACGTGGACAATCATGCTGCCAGGACAAGTTTGTCCGACCATGGAGCTATAAACCCATGGTCTGATGCAGGTTTCAGTGAATCACAAAGCCAACCCAACAAATCCAAATGGCTTTTTATTCAGTTAAAAAAACAGATTATCATATTGGCCAGTAAATATAAAGAACGAAAACATAACAGATCAACCATCAACTATTTTTCACCAACCCTTTCTTACCCCCAAACGATTTCCGCGCCATTAAAAAAAGTCTAAAAGTTACGTTCATGTTTGTAACCTGATTAAACCGAATCCAAATTAAGAAACATCAACTCCCAAACTAGCTTATCCTAACTATCATTTTAGCCCATACCACAGAAATAATTCTTGCAAGATCTTTTGAATTCATTATTGAAACATTGCCTTTGCAAAATATATATCGGCCCTTCCCGTTCCATGAATTTCAAAAAGGCAACCGCTGGGAAAAAAAACGATCGATCCCAACTGCATTAAGCAGACCATACGCACAGAATTGTGGGTAAAATATGGTGCAAGACAATGTTGCTTCTGTGACAAAACTTTTGTCAGACATTAAGATCCAATCACGATGTACATTGCTCAGGAAACTGTCTCATGAGGGCGCTTTCTCATCAGCTGGTACAAGCAAGTTTGGATTTTCGATCAACGCGTGGAAATTACATGTAGAAACGAACCAAGGTCTGAAGGTCTCTCGCACTTAATTTTTGCTGGAAAGACTACTGACATTAAACATTGAAAGACGAAAGGTACAATGTATAGAAAATAAAATAGGAATGTCTATTTGATCATCTCCACAACACAATTTGTGCAGAAAAGTTTACTTACATTGAACAATTATGCTCTGGTCGTCACATTTCCGACAGCAGTCGATACGTTGACTCCGTCTTCAACCCTTGACGTTTTAATAACTTTAGTTCGTTTTCGTTTAGTTTTTTATTTACATATCACAATAAGAATATATGTACCATACATTTTACATATTTTAACAAACCCTTATAAAATGATTATTTTATTAGTTTTGTTTGATAGTTTTATACACCTGACACGAACGTTGTATTTCGCTTTGATTACGCATGTGAATGTCGTGCATGTTCATTGGGCTAACACAAAAGTGAACAATGGGTCGGTAACCATTGCATCGGATATTACGAAATTGGGATAATACAAACATATTGACCGGGTCCCGCGGATTTCGTACTAACAGGAGTCGACTGTACTTTGCTGCCTGAGTACGAGTACCGTCATTTTGAGTACGAGTACTTTGACATTCGAGTAAGAGTACGAGTACCAGTACCAAGTACGAGTACTTCAACACTGGCTGGCACTGATAAGAGCGTAATATTATAATATTATTAAACGCAAGGCAATCAGATGCAGGCCATAAGTAACGACTGCCAGAGGAATTATTCTCAAAGCACTTTAAGGGCCATCCATCTCTATCATAATTTTGGGGATAGGGGTTAGAGGACCACGTATGCTATTCAAAAATATTCCAGAAAGCTGATAATACTCTTCCCTCCAAACAGCAGAGAAACCATCATTTTTCTTTTCAGTTTGTACGCTCTGGGAGAGGGGAGGGGGTCCAGCCAAAATAGTACTCTTTGTGCGCATGTGAAAATGATGAAAAGATTGATGGCCCTTTGTTTACCTTGTTCCTCTTCAATCACATCCAGAAGTGTGTTGAGCTTGTTGATGTTCCATATATTACAGCCCTTGCTGTACAATGAGCCAGAGATGTCTGCAGCATAGATGGGAGGGTTGTAGGTAATATTCTTCCAGTACTTCCTCTCTAGATCGTCATAATCAAAGTGTGGTGGAGTTGCATACCTGAATCCCAAGTAACATAAATGAACAGAAAATATAAAAACTAGATTTATGTTTGTGGACAAACACAGGGCTGTTTCGGTAACTTTTTTGTGACATATGTCACATGTAAAGTTTCAAGTATCAGGGATGTGATTGGTCTGTGACAAAAACCCCTGAAAATTTTATGCATGAAGTGCAAACTCCGGCGAGCGCCAAGCGCGAAGCCATTACAGCGTGGGGTCCGGGGCCCGCTTAAGGGCCCTGGAAATTTTTTAATTTTAGATGCTCTGTGGTGCAATCTGAGGCAATTTCTGGGCACTTTCCTCTGAAATTCTGAAGCAGAATTTGTTTTATTTTTATGAAGAATTTTCCTTTTTTTGTTAAAATGTACTCTTGTTCTAATAAAGTTTTTTTCTGTACTCAAAGTTGAGAACCAAATTTTTGTTGTGATACAACAACCTGCGAAGCCACGGTGTGGGTTCGGGGCCCGCTTAAGGGCCCCGAAAAATTTTGATTTTTAGAAGCTTTCTGGTGCATTTTAGAGCATTTCAGAGGAGATCTTGTAATATTTTTGTAAAAAAAAAATAAAAATTGTAAACTTAAATCACTTCTGCTTCCGATAACATGCCTTTCAAAATAGCGTCGGTAGTATTGTTGGAAAAAAAATATTTCACCATTTCTATATTTGTAGTAAAGCAAGGAATCGTTTATATTTCATCTATTTTGTGCCTGGGTTATTCTCATTTGCGCCACAAAAATTATCAAGACTAGCCATCAAAAGTGATTAAAACTTGCCTCACCTAATTAAAAATATATTTGAGGTGGGTCATTCCACAATTATGCTTAACGTACATCACGGCCGCTAGCGCCGCAAACATTCAGTCTGGCCGGCCGTACATCGCGCCGTATACACACGGCCGGCCCGGCGCAGTATCAGTGTGCATTGCTGCACTATGTACGGCCCATCCCACGTGGCCGAAAATTCTGCAGGACTGCAGAAACACGCGACGATGTTTCTCTACAGGTTCGAGTTTTGCAATCTCGTCATTTCAATTGAAAATACATACACAGAAAATGAAGATCACGTTCTGTGAATAAATTTGCAGAAATCCTCTTTTTCCATCGATGGTTGTTTGGTATTTTTACGATCCAACTTCGGCCGATTAAACGCACGGAAAACGAACCTGTGAGTACTTGCAGTAGTCACTGGTTCCGGTCCTTCATCATAGCATTGATTCCGTTAGCACGCGAAGGGTACCAGTGTACCATGCTGCACTCGTCTGCACACCTGACCAGCGCAACACGTGCATCTCGAGAATCGACACAGGAGCTAGACCTACATACTCGCACTAATGGCGACGCATGGTCTTCAACTTCGTTCTCACATTGGGTGTTCAATATGTGCGTGCGGCATACATGTACATATCGATCAACGAAGTTTATGTCCGTAAGTAAATTTCGGATATTTCGGCAAGCAAAACTCATTATGAATAATTAGTTAGCACATTCTACCCCCCTATTTTCTCAACGGATTCACACGATTCACGTTGGTGGACTTTTGAGGCCCAAAAAAACGGATTTCCGGGAAAAAACGGAGAAATCACATCCCTGAAGTATACACATGTAAGTTCCATCCAAAATGGATGTGTAGTTCTCTTTATAATAAATGGTGGCACATAAATATGTGATTACATTGTCATAAGGCCTTGAATTATGACTTTACATGTCACGTGATGACGTCTTGATGACGTAACATCAATTTTCATCTATAATCATCTATAACAACCTGCCGCTAGAGGGCGCTCTAACATTTTATGACATCCCCGTTTTTTTTTCTGTAAAGAGCAACTTAGCCAGAGCATACATCGTTAAAAGCAAGTTCACATCTTTTACCAATTTTAAATTACAAGGCACTTCCGGTTTCAACCGGAAGGAAGGGTCACGTGATTTCACACGTAATATCAAAAATGAAGCTGGATTATTCTATCGATTCCCGCAAACATCAAGTTCAGGTCTCTCACGGTTGATTTTATATTGATTTTCAAAGATTACATTTAACGTGACATCACATGACTCATGATGACGTCATCGTGACTTCACTTCAATGTTCATCTATAACACATCCCGGTCTAGGTGCATACCAACTTTGAACCCAATCGGACATGTAGTTCTGGAGATATGGGCCTTCAAAAAATGTTTATTTTATATGACATCATATGTCACGTGATGACGTCATCATGCCGTCAAGTTAATTTTCATCTATAAGACATCCCGGTCTAGATACATACCAACTTTCAACCCCATCGGACCTGTAGTTCAGGAGATATAGGCCTTCAAAATATGTTTATTTTATATGACGTCATATGTCACGTGATGATGTCATCATGATGTCAAGTTAATTTTCATCTATAAGACATCCCAGTCTAGGTACATACATGTACTAACTTTCAACCCAATCGTACTTTTGGAGATATAGCCCAATCTGTCAGATCTAGCCGAATTCTGCTAGAAAATGGTCATAACAGAAAAATCGCATATAATGTGACGTCACGTGACAACGTCATGATGACGTAAATGTTAGGGGCACAACTGCAGGTGCTGGTCTAAGTGTGTGCCGAGTATAAAGGCAATCGGATGGATTTCAGTGGCCAAAGTGCAGGGGACCAAAAAAACGTGTACAAAAGCAATGGGCAAAATGACAGAAAAAGAAAAATAATAGAGTAATAAAATAAAAATCTTAACGAAAACAAAGGCTGTTTCGGCCGGTTGCCGAAACAGCTAATAACAGAAGCATATGCTTGTGGGGGCCATGCACTTTGGGGTACATCTTGAAACTCTCAGGATCACTTACGGATGCCTCAACAAGTTCAAAACCATTTTTTCTCTCCCTTTTATGGGTGGGGCCCATGACATTAAAATGTGGGGGGGGGGTCCATGTGCACAAAACTATTCAGACAATTACACTTGTCCAAAATAGTTTTTCCAACATTCTAAATTCATCTTTTTCATCTGCTGCAAAACCTTTGAAAATTGACTCTCCTTTTGGGTTTTATGTCACCAACTTTCTCCAAATGGAGAGTGTTCTTATGTATAAGTGTCTATTCTATTGATAAACATATCAAAAAACCTTTCAAATTGCGTAACTTTCTGTGGCAATTCTTTCTTGGATCGTTTTGTCTGGCGACGCACCGCGCTCAATTTTTTCCCGGTGTGGTCACATGACCTTTCCTATTTAATCGCTTGAGGGTGCACTATTGTGGGCTTCAATAAGAGCGCTATAAAATTTCGATTCTTGTTGTGTTGGTGTCTTTTAATCCCTTGTATTCCTTCATATTTCATTTAATTCCTTTTTTCCCATCTTTTTAATATATTGTGAGTGAGATTTGGCTACGCAATAAAGCTTAAAGTCGGTATTTACATCATTCAAAATTTGGATTTTCTTTTCCAAAAGAAATTTTAAAAAATAAAACAATAAGTTTGTTTATTGTTTTTGCATGCCTTTATACAGTTTCAAAAAGTGGTTTTAAATGGCACGCTTCATTTCTGACGTAACTAATGCTCATAACTAATGTAACGCTAGAAAAGTCAATTTGAAAATCTATTTTCAAGGTGCCATACCCAAAAAGCACATACGTACATACACCAACTTTAAAATCTGCATCCCAAAAAAGGATGAGGAGATACAAACTGTACATGTAGTGGTGGTGAAGAGTCTCTGAATACAGGGTTCAACCTTAACCTTTTTTTTTCACTAGCCAGCCTGGCTACTGAAACAGACTCTTAACTAGCCCGCGGGCATTTTCACTAGCCCGTATGTTTTTCTTTTATAGAGTGTCTCATAAACATCAATATGCATACATGTAAAACGTGTATAGAGCCTGAAAGTTGACCCCTGTAAGCGCACTTCAGGGCCCCTCATAAAAGGAAAGCTAATGTGTACAAGTCAGAGATTGTGAAATTAGTTTTGGTACTTTGATTTCACAAGAAAATCACACTCGGATATTTTATGGAAACTGAAAAGTCGCATGACGTGAAAGAGAAATTTTGTGCCAAGAATTGACCTCTCACTTCCGTAAACTTCCATGTAGACTCATGGAACTTGATTACGTGTTGCATCTTTGACGTATCCCAATTTGTTTCTGACTTGCCAGCCGGGCTACTTAAGCAATAGTTCAACTAGCGTGTACAAGTCAGAGCTTGTGAAATTAGTTTTGGTACTTTTATGTCGTTGTTTTTTTCGGAATTTAATGGAAACTCAAAAATCGCATGACATGGGCACCCCACTGTCCTAGCGATTGGATATCCTACGATTGGACAAGCAGCATGCCAGCGAACTCTGCAGCTGAGCGTAGTGATCAGACAATACCATGCGGCATACACCAAGGTTTCCAATGCAGTCACTGCAAAGGACTGCCAGCATGCGGGCTACAATTGAGCTAGCAGTAGCAGTCAGGCTTACTCGAAAGACAGGATCATTGCGGTTACGGACAATGGCAGTGTGCGGATAGTGTCCAAACGTGAAAAGACCAAGTGCGCTTGGCAGAGTGACTCATTAAAACAAAATCTGTGATCTTTTTACACTACTGTTGCGATTACGGGCTGGTTACTGTGACTATTCCTATCACAATGGCAGCGTACACACAGTGTACAAACGTGAAAAGACAAAAAGCGCTGGGCAGTAATACATGTAACTCATAACGTGATCTTTTTACACCTCTTTGTGACTGACTGGCTGAACAAAACGGAGGTACCAGCACAAGTATTGTGAGGTACATGTACGGTGGTATTAATGTACATAAAATCATATTCGCTTGATGGAAATGGGGTAAACAGAGTATCAAGGTACATGTATCCGACTTTATGGTAACGAGAGTTTACTGTACCTACCCAGAGACAACGTGGAAACAGGTCAATTCTGATTGATTTCATCACAATTTATGCATGTAACAGCCAAACAGTTGAAACCCCTTAGCCCCAAGGGAACAGTTAACACAAGCCTTGATGAATTTCCAACCATAGTGATATCAAACACATTTCCTTTTTGTTCCTCCATACTAATGTCCCTATTCTTAAGAGATGCCTTCACCGAAAGCTCATCAATTGCCAAGATGGATTGAGAGAAATTATGTTTCATACCGACATACATGTACATGTTTTCAGCAGGTTTTTTTTTTTTGAGTTGTTAGATCATGCATACAGCTCATGTCATTTGAATTGACCCTACCTGCTGCTGTTTGCTAGTTTCCTGAACTCAAGTGATGTCAGAGGCTTCTTCTGAATGTTGTACTGGGTGTATAGTCCTTGGTGACCCATTACTTCTTGCTGAATTGGAGCTGGGATAGTGAGGGTTTCAAGTTTGTCATAGTCATATGCTGCCACAAACTCCTTCGGTGGTATAATCTAAAGCATTCAAACAAACATTAAATTTACAAAAACAGCACTGAAATTTATTCAGTATCTCTGCATTAGTTCCTAAAAATTATTGGACTTGGATTTTTACTTGTTTTATATTTACACGGATACATTTTTATCAAACAAAATTCAGGAACCGAAGATTGCTTTAGAACCATGGAGGATATTTCAGATGTTTTCAGTTTTGAGTCACACAAAATGAAAGGCCGATAAATTATATGTTGGTTTTCAATAGCCAAAGAGATAATTCACAAGATTCACACCAAACATTAATCCCAGCACTTTTCATCCACGACATTTTAACACATGGATTAAAGATGGAAACCTTTTTTTGGCATGTTGTCTGTTTGCTGGTGTTACTGGAACTGATAACTTTCCCCATTTCTGTCAATCGATGTGAGTATCCATTATCGACATGCTATAAAAGGCACGTCACATGAAAAGCTTCAAACAGTAGTCAATATAGAGGTTTTGCTTTTTCAGGAATGATTAATTTTTAGTTTCCTTCAGTTTTAACAAATCAGAAATGGTTAATTTTTCCAACAACTTTAAAGCCTGTTTACATTGATGTGGAAGTACATAGGTGATCTACTATACAAACATATAATAGTAATAACTTGAACAAGAAAATTAGGAATACACTGACTTTGGTATCGTCTTTGAAACTGGTAATGAACTTTACTGATTTGTTTTTTTAACTTCACAGAAACTTTGTGGTGGACAGTCATATATTGTATTCCCTTTATAGTGTGCCATATACATTGACACTGATGTTAACCCACAACATGCATTGATGTTAGATGCACAACCTTAGCAATGCCAGCTTTGTGTGCTCCCATGGACTCCATGTATGCAATGTAGGCTGGGAAGTCCTTCATTTCCTCCAGGCTAGGACGAAACACCATGATCTTTGGTACCGAGGAATTATGTGATGGTGGACTCATGATTGTGACTTCAAGGCTTTCACTGGAACCAAACAGATAAATATATTTACTCACATAATAAGATTTTTTTAAATGTTGAAGATAAATATAAAGGTACCCCAAAAAATGCTGTCTTTCCTGTAACCCCACTGACCCTACAATTTTGAGTCGGCACTTATTTATTTATTAACCCTAACTGTTTGAGTATCACCCATTATCCATGGAGCCTAGTCTCCTGTCTAACGTCTGATATATCTAAGCATGCGTGACGTCATTTCATTTCAAAATCAGGACTAAGATTGTGAATGTGATTGGTCAATTTGGATGCTGCATTTTGTAATACAACCTGTACAAAAATGCTACTAATCGTGGGCGTGATGTTTATGCACGTGGGGAGCTCGAATTACGCGCGTATAGAAGGTGCCTGCTGATTGGTCAGTTTCTCGAGGTCATACGCAGTCTAGTTTCATAATTAATCGCCAAATCTGTATACGTATAATAGACAATGTTCAGCTTCACCGGTGCCAGGATCTATTACATAGACTACTAACTGTCCTGAATCCTTCAAAATCCTCTTTGCCAAAGTGGAGGAATTTGGAGAATTGAGGTTACATGGTAAAAGAGCGATACTGATTTCGTAGGATGCACTTTGTCAAGGTCTTGGGCCGGACCTTGTGTTGTTTTTGCTCAGCAATGCATAGATATAGGGCTGGATTATGCTTGAAATCTTCCATACTGCTCCAGGATGTCACTTGCCAAGTCTGAACATAATGACAGTCTATTCATAAGATGGAATTTTGCGTTGGGGTGATGTAAATCAAATTACGTTTTTGCCCTTCATCGACGTATAAACACTGTATACTCAGTGTGTTACGGGGTCTACCCGATGTTCCCCAATACCGATGTTCCCCACTACCAATGTTCCCCGAAATCCTTAGGATTAGGGTTAGGATTAGGGCTAGGGTTAGGTTTATAGGGTAGGGATTTTGGGGAACATCGGTATTGGGGAACATCGGTATTGGGGAAAATAGGTATGCACCCGTGTGTTACCTCCTGAACGAAAGTTGGAAAAATCACTCGGGTGGGTGTAGAAAGCAGGAGGTTGTGGGTTCGAGTCCCACCCAAGTGATTTTTCCAACTTTCGCTCGGGAGGTAACACACTGAGTATACACTGTTTATACGTCGGTGAAGTGCAAAAACGTAATTTGATGACAGTCACCGTCGCAGGATTTTGCAGGATTGAGGCTATGGTCCTTATTCATGAGTTCAATGACCATTTTTGTCGAGTTCCCTGAATGTATTTCATTATTTGTTAACTGTGTAATGGGATGGCGCCAGACTATTTATGCAGGCGCAATGCAGCCTTATTTTACTGTCATTTTTTTTTTTAAATATGGCTTTAAAACATTAGGGAATGTTTAATTACAAACTTTATATTATTCATTGAAGCAGACTGGAATTTTTTATAAATGAACTTGCTTTCATTTCTCTTCGCAAGTTCAAAAAATTAAGATTTTACCGCGTTGCGATTTTGTGCGTCTTGTTTATCATACATAACACATTTTTCTGGATGTCATCTTTGGTGCTTAGGTAGGTCTAGGTCTACTCTATCTAACATGGGGATAACAGTTATTAAACTTTTTCAGTAAGGTAATTACAGCCCAAGGAAACTCAAAAGTACATCAAAAATGTAACTTGAGTAACCGTGGAATCGCCCACCTTATTGCAAGTACAAAAACAACAACAACAAAAATTAGAAGTGTTTTCTGTCTACTACAGACAGAATGAGTCGACGGGCATTTCCATTTTATAATCGTTTGAATTATCTTTCTTTGTTTCTTTTTTCCCAAACAATAAACTTCATAACTTCTTCTAAATGTGTATACATGTACTTGAAACTTTGAACAAACGGCAAACATCATTATCCACATTGATACACATTGATAAATACCCTTTAAATACATGTGCAATGAACAAAAACTTTCAAATGAAAACAGACACAAGTAAACATTCTTATGATGTGAGGTATGCAGTTCTTTTGCCATGTCCTTTTTGTAACATGGGTTAATGATAGAATACTTGTGCCTATATTCTAACCAACAGGAAGTGTGATTTGACAGCCTTATTTTTGTAATTTTTCATTTTGTTCATAGTATCTTCTGTAGATAAATCTACCTGAAATGCTACAACATGGCACTGACTCCCATTTGCTATTAGTCTTACTGTGTTATTGTTCTTTTCAAACATTAGTGTCAATCATATTTTAAACATCACTTTTTAAGTTTTTTTTTTTTTTTTTACAATTTAAATGGGGACCTTATCTTATTGCAGTTTGTGTAAATTCCGTACTAATTGATTTTTTGTTTCTAATGGTTTAACATTGTATTGTCATCTTAATTCGGCATGTGCTGCCACGATGATTTTTAATGAACCAGTCTATCTATCTATCTATCTATTGGTGACTGTGTAGTAGCAGGTCCTTGGACTCACCCAACTAGTGTGCCTCTGTCATTTCTGTTTTAGCCTCTGAAGAAGAACTTGCTAAGTTCGCAACGTCAGGCCACATTAATTTTTAGATTTATATATTTCAGGTCCATCCAGTCAGTAAGCAGTTTGCAGCAGTCTTACTTTTTTTCATATTATTATTATTATTATTATTATTATTATTATTGTTAATATTTTCTGGTTTTGAAACTAAGGAATCCTCAAAAGCACCCCAGGTATTGTAGCTCGCAAGCAGACAGAATCCCATACAGAGAAGACAATGAGAAGAAATTACAATTTTAGAGGTAGGAGGAAAATCCCAGAAGAATATTCGGGGGGAAGGGGGGGGGGGGGAATCCCACGGAATCATGCAGGGACTGAAAACCCAATCCACATATTGACCCACATATTGTAAAGCACCCTCTTTGATAAGTATACGAGATAGGCTAAGGCATTGCATTACCACCATCAATTGTGCAGCACCTGCAGATCCGTGGTCCATCTTCCGAGCTAGCCACATTTTCAGTTTTTTTTCATTCCCAAAAATTAAGAATAGCCTATTCTTCTTTTAATATTTTCTACTGACTCCAACACTTAGTTACAGAGTATTACATTTTCTTATTTTGATTCATTGCTCTGAAGAATTTTTTTTAAGGGAAGTAAAGTCCAATTATGTCAAATGGTCTGATTCCCATCTTTCGAATTAGAAGCCGAAATCATTAATATTTTTCATATTTTGGTCACAGTTGTTCTGTTTCAAGTTGATCATTAGCTTCGTGGATGACTGCTGCATGGTATGAGGTGTGTTTAATCTCATCTGGGTTTGGATAAAAGGGGAAAAGGACCATTTTTAGGTGTTGGGCCTTTAGCCAAACACCTATTGTTATTGTAAGAATTCAATATTCTTTTATTTATTCAAGACAGATTCTTCTCCGGAACTGTTTGTCAAAATGAAAACATATATGAACTTCCATTGTCATAATGCCCAACCCACTGCAGATGTATTTTTTTGTAATTACTTCATCATGACGTCATCATGGGTCATGTGACATCACTTCAAAATATAATAAATTTAATCTTTGGAATTCAATATAAAATCAACCGTGAGAGACCGGAACTTGAGTTTTGCGGGAATCGACATGATAATACATGCTCTTCCTTTTATCCTGTGCGCGTAAAATCACGTGACCCTTCCTTCCGGTCGAAACCGGAAGTGCCTAATAATTTGAAAGTGGAAAAAGATATGAACTTGCTTTCAACGGTGTTGGTGTGTGCCTGGATTGACCTTTCAAAAAAAATAATGGGTGAGGCCATGAAGAGTTGGAGCGCCCTCTAGCGGCAGGTTAAAAAAACGCGAAAAATGCATTTTCACTTGATGTCTGTGGCGAAGTTTGCGGTATTCGCTTCAAAACTCCTGTACATAATGACCTTAAGGCTTAATGCAGACAAGACCTATGCGCGAAAACAAAATTGATTACGTCATCAGATCGGAAGTTACAATAAAGACCTTTAACCCTTACCCTACTAGACCCTCCAACGCATGCCAATATGTGCCTCAAGAAAATCTCCTATGTTTTTTGCATGGCCCTCCAATATCTGCCATGTCATTTCAAGGGTAACTGGACAGGCACTCCAATACATGCCACAGAGAACAATGAGAGTCCTCTGATAACAAAGTGAGTGCCCCCAGCTGGTCAGTATCAGGCACCCTCCAGGGCCTCCAACTCCTGCCAATTGGAGCCTTCACTGTTAAGACAAACTATCTGCCAATAAACTGCAGCTGGAGGGCATTGGCATAACCAACTGACATGCAGTAAACTACCCTCAGAGAGTAAGGGTTAAACCTTCAAAAATTGCTAAAAAAATCAACCGTGATACATATAATCAAGGTTTGGCTATATATAGCACAGTTAAAATAGCTCTTGCACTTTCTGGTAATGACATCACAATGACGTCATCAAGTATCATATTACAAGCAATCAAAGATTTCTAGATTTAATCTTTGAAAATCAATATAAAATCAACTGCTACAGATTTGATTTTGTTTTTTATGGCAATCAATACAATACGGCAGGGTCTTCATTTTTGGTAATAAGTGCAAAATCACGTGACCCTTCCTTCTGGTCGAAACCGGAAGTGCCTTATTATTTGTAATTGGCAGAAGATGCGAACTTGCTTTCAACGATGCGAGTGTCTGCCTAGGCAGTACTGTACACAAATTTTACAGGTGACGTCACCAAATGTTAGAGCGCCCTCTGGCGGCATGTTGTAAAAGTCAAACATGGATTTAAACATGCATATTTTAAGTTGATGTGTGTGGCAAAGTTTGCAGTAATCCATGGCCCAACACCGTGTGGTTGTTCCTACAACCTCTAGTTCATTTTGTTTTTGTGTAGTCCAAATTTGATGGCCTCTTTCATTTTTGATCCAATAATGCAAACTACATTGAATTCCAGCTCTAAATGTCGAATTCCTGATGAGCATTGGAGCTGCAGATTTTGTGACAATGTTTTAGGGAGCTGATGACTGATCATCATTTTTTGGCCAGATGGATGAAGATTTCTAGATAAAGGAACGTGTTTTGGAAAGGTATGAGTTCCTCTATGAGCAGGTACCCTTACTTTGGAAATCTCTGTCCTGGATGAGAAGATAATCTCGCTCAAAGTCGGTAGCAAATCAGCATGATCAGTTTCAGGCATCCAGGGAACGTTTATCGTTCTGGCCGTACTACAGAGCTTGTGATAGTGCACAGCTGGCCAGAGGCATTCAGGCTAGCCTAGGCTATGAGGCAAGCAGGAAAAGTCTAGTCATTTTAAATATGTTTGGAAATGGTATTGTCAAGCACAATTTGGATACCGTGCGTAAGTTTAAAGCTATAGTCCATCATTTGCAGCCATCTGAAAAGTAACTGGCGTAATTATTGTTGAAAAACAAACTTGGTTGAAAGATAGTAAGGGGACTAAACTCCCTGTGAAATTATTCTTTCTGGGAAGCTGTCATTTTGAAGTAATCAACGAAAGAAGGCATTTCCAACGGTGATTCTTAAGAAGCACCGTAGGAAAATTTAAATTAGTAGTTCGTTTTGTTATTCAGCGCAGCGCGCACAAGTATTGGAACGACGCACACGCGCGCGCGGTTGTTATAATTCGTCGGATCAGTGCGCGACGTCGCGTACATGTATAGCTGCAATTCAAAACAATTCAAAACATGATTCAGTAACTTTTGATTTGAAATTGAGATCTTAGAATGCTGTTTTTCTTGGAATATACAACTGAAGCTGAGCTGAAACTTCATCAAGTAAGTTGTTCAGTATCCTTCATTAGATTTTGAACACGTTTGTTGCTTCAAACGAACAAAATGCACTAATTACAAATGATGGACTATAGCTTTAAACTTGCACGCACAAGTTTCAAACTTGAGCGAGCAAGTTTCAAACTTGAGCAAGTAGTTCCGAAATCGGAAGCACATAAATTTCAATGCACAATATACGCGCACTTTACAATTTGCGAAAGGTGATCACAAATTGATATTTATGCCCTGACCCTTCTGCCACTTTGGCCAGACAGGCTGCAAAATGTTCACAGCCCTGTTAGTTACTCTTGGCGCATGTGTTTTCCTCAAGAAACCTTCCACTACAGAATATTACTAAAAATACTTTAAATATCTTGCAGTCTCCCAAATATTTTTGTATGATTGTTACAATACAATTGTGCTTCACTTCCCTGTCTCAACTCTCAATATTATTTAGGTTTTCCAATTTTCACATAACGAAAAGGCGCGGCTTGTAACATGTTTTTTTTTTAACATTTTTTTGGAGATGATTATTATTCTCTTTTAACCCTTACTCTCTGAGGGTAGTTTACTGCATGTCAGTTGGTTATGCCAATGCCCTCCAGCTGCAGTTTATTGGAGGATACTTTGATGTAGCAGTGAAGGCTCCAATTGGCAGGAGTTGGAGGCCCTGGAGGGTGCCTGATACTGACCAGCTGGGGGCACTCACTTTGTTATCAGAGGACTCTCATTGTTCTCTGTGGCATGTATTGGAGTGCCTGTCCAGTTACCCTTGAAATGAAATGGCAGATATTGGAGGGCCATGCAAAAAACATAGGAGATTTTCTTGAGGCACAATTGGCATGCGTTGGAGGGTCAAGTAGGGTAAGGGTTAAAGATGATCAACCTTACAGACTAGTCATCAGGTAAATGTAGCGATTTCAGGGGATGGGCTGGACTGTGGATCTGATTGGTCCTCTCAATGTGGAATGTAATGAACACAAAAGTATTTGGAGCAGCGCATACATTTCTGTCCGAATTCATAAGTCGAAAGACATGCCATCTGTTTTGTTTACCAGTAAGTGAAGGTATATTCAACCGGAGGGGGTATAGGCCAATTCAACTGGAGGCAGAATCCAACCGATCGTTACTGAGCAAAAACCTTGGGTCTGACTAGGGTTGACGCTGTACTGCAAACATACATGTAGCAAGTATACCATGTATACATGTATGATCATGCATGTCATGTCATGAGACTAGTATGGGAACGTTTTCATACTAGGCCTCCTGCCTCCACTTTTTTTTTCAATTAATTTCCAAGCGCAAAAAAGTTGTATCCTTTATGGTTATTCCTCCACTTTCCCTCCTCTACTCTACTCTCACCCTCTCCTTTCCCTTAACCCTATTTACTAATCAGTCACTTATTTCATCGAGATTCGAACCTCAGACTCTTGTTTGAAACACAACAGTTTTACCACTAGGCCATAATAAGGCCGCGCAAGGTTGCTTGTTGCAATAATCAATCTTTGGATGTATTTAAAGTATCCTTCAAAATAAGACTAATGTATATTAAATAAACTAAATATTGGTAAGAAAAAAATATTCATAATGACATATTGCACTGTCATTGGCTGGCTCATGTGTTGTCAATGTCATGCGTAACATACTGCTAGACTTCCAGCTTCAATCACTACATGGCCAGCTGCCTCCAACTTTAGTTCTGCATGATGTGTGCATCTAAAATTCTGTAAAATACTTTTTTCATAAAAATTATTGGCATTGCCGGAGGTTCCTAAATTCGTCTTGGGTGAAATCACGAGGTGAGGTGAAAATGAATGTGTTTGGGGGCAGGTAAGGGGTGGCTGTAGTATGAACAACCTGATATGTACTATGAGTGATTATGGTTAAGATCTCACTCTCTCAGTTTACAGCATGCTACTTTGCTAGACAGGGCGTTGTATACGGGCCGGTTCCTATAGAACAAAATCCACTTTTAAATTGTGACCTGCTGAGGCTAAATGAGGAATGTTCCCCCAAACTTTGTCTTGAGTTATCAGCGTTTTAAGTTGCCTATGTGTGAAAAATCATGTCAAAATCGATTTTGGATTAAGTTTTTCCACAATTGTCTGTTATTTTCTTCTAAATAACAACAATGACTCAAGTTCAATGTGACATTTTAAGAGAATCAATTATTGTGTATACCTTGGTGTGTTACTATTCGAAAGCATATTGCCTGCTCTGTATATTTCTAGCAGTGTCATTAATCTGGTACTGGCCTGGCAACTCATGATCAGCTCTGGAAAATGGTGCACAAAATGCAATGTTACGTTGCCAATGACAGTGTCTAGTTAAGTTCGCGGGGCTTCACTACGTAATGAAAATAACAACGTCTGATTGGACCACATTGTATGAATAGGCAATAGAGCATGCGCTGTAACTAAGTCTTGTTTCTTAGATACGTGACGTATTGCAGCAAAGATCCAATCTGTGAGCGCGTGTCTACAGCGCACGCAATCAGAAAATGTTTATAATGCAAGAAAATTGTTCCACGCACGTATGTACGTACAAATAAAGCTTGCAATGCACAACGTGCAACACACAACTTTTTTTCAAAGCTTTTTTTCTCGAAATGAGGTCGCAGAAGTTCGGCAACGCACTACAGACTTTACCATGACATATCTTTGGAAGTAAATGGGCCACAGAAATAAAATTGGTATCATTACCAAGCTCAAGAGAGTTTTTCCTTTTATAAAACTCAAAAAGTAAAGGATGGGGGTTATTCCTCATTTTGCCATAAGCAGGCCACAATTATTTGACCAACCAAACTAGTTGGCAGACATATATATAGGGGTATGTCAAAGGGCAGGGTTTTGAATTTTTGAGGAAATTTGGGGATAAAATGATGATGACCATAACAAAACGTAACACGAAAATAAAGATGGTGATCACCGCGCGATGTACCATGCGTACCGTGCACACGCAAGTCGCGTTGCACAGCACCGACTGGCCCGTAGGAAAATCATAATTTCTACCCCAAGAAATTGTTCAAAAATAAAATTACCAAAGTGGTGTCATTACATGTACATTGAGAAAAGTCTGCTTTAGGTTGACAATGTCATTTTTCAGAAATAAAAAAAATTCTTGATTCTAATTTGATCAAAACAAAATAGGGGCCCTGCCACCAGCCTACATTACACGATCGCCCTAGACGATCATGACAGTGCCAGTTTTCCTAAATAATTTAAAGCTACAGTCCATCATTTGCAGCTATCCAAAAAGTAACTGACGTAAATAGTGTTGAAAAACATACTTGGTTGAAAGATAGTTAGGGGACTAAACTCCCTGTGAAATTATTCTTTCTGGCAAGCTGTCATTTTAAAGAAATCAACTAAGGAAGGTCTTTTCAACGCCGTTGGAAATTTCCATTATTAGTAGTTCGTTTTTTTATTCGGCGAAGTACGCGCAAACGTTGACATGACGCACATGCGCGCGCGGTTGCTATAATTCGTAGGATCTGTGCGTGACATCGCATAGCTGCAATCATGGCTGCCATTCGGGATAACAAAATTAGTGAGAACGTGTCTGGGACGCTGAATTCAGGCCCAATTCAAAACATGATTCAGTAACTTTTGATTTGAAATCGAGATTCTAACATGCCTAAAATGCTTTTTTTTTCTCGAAATATACAGCTAGCTGAATATTGGAAATGTTTCTCAGTCCAATAGTCATGTCTTAATCATCATTTTTGCAATGAATGACCTTCATTGAGATGATATATGAAGAAAAGAGTGGCGTCAGGTTGCAACATTTTTCCCTGTTATGAACTGTGTACGCAGTAAACATGGTAAACGGGACCGGGCCCGGGCTGGACGGCCGGTCGATCATGAACATGATGAACGTCGAACCGAATCGAACATCCGTGATTCCGGCCGTGTAACTGACGAGCCCCGTTAAATTGAAACGCATTTTCCCCCTTTTCAATCACTAATAACACTATGTTACACAAAAGCAGACTGCTTACCTTCAAAACAAAAGTCACTAAGCAGGCTAATCAAAGTCAAACTGGCACTTAGCTTCTACCGATACACATTCAAACATATCCCGAATGGCAGCCATGTTACAAGGTTTTTTGTGTACTGCACTATACTGATCCTATTCGAGCCGCGATACGATAGTACGGGGCCGGCCGGACGTGTACATGTATGTACGTACGGACGTACATGCCATACAGCTCTGTGTACATGTATATGCACGTACGTACGTACGCGTTGCATTACATGAACGCGATGCGGCCCTGCATCATTGCCCTGCATCTTCTGCCCTGATGGCGGCCCGGCGAATCTAATCCGCTACGGCTATGGATAGCCGCAGCACACAATGTGTAGCAGGGAAACCGAATCCATAGCTACAAAGTACAAGATTTAGTACGGGCTCAGTTGTGGGCCGATTCACAACCCAAGCGATGGTTATTAAATGAGTCCGCACTAAAGTAGGTCCCTCATAATAGGCAAATCAATGAGAGGCTAATGTTTTTAACTACCCTTGTTTATATAGCTCCCTTCTGAATGAAACATCGAACGAATAAATCCACCCAAGACAGTTTCAAATTATGTTCCCTGTGGCGTGGGCCCATAGAGCTATATTAAATTTAATATTGCTCTATGAGTGGGCCCTAACGTGGCGTGGCCCCTAACGTTGCGCGTCCCCTAACGTGGCGCGCGCTACCGGTCTAGGTTTACTTCAAATTTCACAATAAGTGACATATTTTCATCAAGTTCTAACAATTCCCGTTCATACATTCTGAGACTTTTTGAGGCTATAATTCCAGCCCAACTTCTTTGAGTTTTGCAATTGACTGAAAAGCAGTAAATCTCAAACTAAAACCCAATCCGAAACCACTGATCATATAAAGACTAGATAGCTAATAAAGAGCCGCACATCACAATGAATGAATTTGACGCCATATTGGTGAGACCGGCTGGTGATCTACAAAGGACCAGTTGCCGTCTTTATAGACAGCATGATTTCTTTTGTAACGTCAAGGTTCACTTGACTTATATTTTGACCACCCCCACTGACCAAGGTTTACTACAATTTTTCTAACGTCGTGGTTACTTTTTAAAATGCCGCAAATCACTTTTTCGGCGTTTTTGAAATAATAATCACCACGGAAATGTGTCCCTTTTAGAACATCATAATATGTGTACGCGACCAAAATGCGCGTAAACTGTTGATACAACGCGCGCATATTTAGGCGTAGAACGTTCGTATTATACGCGGCCATCTTGAGACCGGGGGCGAATTGGTCAATATGCAAAGTCTACTGTGTGAATGTTGTATGCATATCCGCTATCCCAGTCTTTATATAGAGATCAGTGTCCGAAACGGGCGGGTTTTGTCCAATAATTCGGCCATGTAACGACGGCCGTTGCATGCTGCTCAGTACAGGCGCAGTCACGGCCCCCGGTTCCGGTTAAGTTGAGCGTATTATCCCGGCTGCCGTGGCTATTGGCTAACCCGTCTGTGAGTCGACCGGGTGATCGAGCTACTCGAACTCAGTCAAAGAAAAGTGAAAAGACCGGCAGGGGAAAAAAAACGAACATTGTTAGACCACGCAATTAACAACGACCTCAAACCCCTAGGCCCTATGCAGCATACACCTGCTGCTGAACAAGGAGACCAATTACAAAGCTGGCTGGAGACAACAGATCAGACGCGCATTGTTTATAAAGGAGTGCGCGGCAACAGACGACGACGACGACTCGAACGCACCCACAGAATTGTCTGTAGGGGTGCAACCCTGCATTAAAATTCCCATAGACACTAGTGCTAAATGCCCGTACTTCAAAATTCCTCAGAACTCTCACAGGTAAGCTGCACATAAAATGATGATCAACCTGTCATCTTTCATTTCTTTTCAACTTTTGGTGGGTTGACCATTACTTTTCGAGAAATTCTCGCCAAAAGAAGACGACCCCTATTTTCCCCAAAGCGGAACGGTAGCCATCTTGAAAAACGATCCCTCCACACCCAACCTCGTGCCCCGTGGGTACGATCTTGCAGCGTCATGTTGTTTCCCATCATGCCTTGCGCGATCGTAACCCCTGGAATTGTGTAATTTAAATATACCGAAATACGGTACATTATAATTAGGGCTGCAGTTTATCCGTTTTATGCGCCGACGCCATCTTTAAAATGTTAAAAGTTGTGATTTTGAAGAATCAATCATTTCAAACCCAACGTTTTGACGTTGTGTTAATTAGCAAAGTCTTGTAGGTACGTACCCCTTTCGTGCCTTTACAACCACAGATACAGGGGCTTTTTTTTAGCGAAAAACGCGGCTGACATAATCCATATCGTACAGGCATCGCGACTTTTGAATCATAATTTTTTTTTCGTACGTGACGATACGTGCAAAGCTAGGCACGCGAGCGCGAGCGCATTATGGGCGCGCCCGGCGTGTCCCGTCATCATCACAGCCAGGGGTTAGTGTAAGGAACGAGCACGCGCCCCTGGAGTCGAGGCTGCTCCGATCCACACCATGGCAAAATACCACTTTCGAGCCCAATTGTATCCAAAATGCTCAGAATTGGAAGCCCCAAGTCAGAGCCAGAGGTTCATTGCCATATCTCTTCAATTCCCCAATGTTATGGCTTTGAGAACTCGAATATAGAATATTTTGAGGGTATAACTTTTTTTTCATCAGCTCGGCGGATGGATTTAGGCCTATTTACCGGTGTGCACCCGTAGGTCTCTCTCAAAGACGGCCATTTCTGTAGGATCGGAGAACGTCGCCCTGCAACTGCGCACCGGTATTTATTTTGCGCGTTCGTTTAGCTCACGACCCGCCGGGTCGACACGGATAAAGGCAGACGGGTCAGCCACGACAGCCGGGCTAATCGAACGCTCAGCCTAGCCGCGGACCATCACGATCACAGTCGTCGGGCCGTATAGCTACTGACAACACGCCCTTTTCATATTAGCAGGCGCGGATCCAGAGGGGAGGGGGGGGGTTTGGGAGTCTAAAAAAAAAAAAAAAAAAAATACACCTCTGTCAATTTTTTTTCTTCATAGAAATTCCTGGGAAAAAAATGCGAAACCCCCCCCCCCTGCTCCGACACCCAAAATGGTTTTTGCTAGTAATAATGTCCGCCTTGCACAAAATACGCACAGATCCAGCTTGGTTATTGGTTAGGGGGTACATGTACATTATTCTGTGATATAGTGTAAATAATCAGTCAGTTGCCGTGTCACGCGTATAGCTGCTCTATTTTCTCGTCCACACAACTGATAGCAACGCGAGGCCAGCGAACGATGGCCGTAAAAAGGGCTTCAGAAAATTCAAACCACAACTGATCCAAACAAACAACTTGGTTGTTTTAGGTAGTTAAAGACCTACTTCATACATCTGATCAAGGTATTTTTGTTTCTCAAAAAAAAAGGATTTCGATGCATTTTGACGATATTATTTCACGGACAAATCGACTAAAGATTAGGTCATGAAATTTCCGGGTTTTTTTCGAGAACGACGAAAGTCTCCCAAATGTTGAGGTAATCAAACGAAAGAGTGAACCTTCATCTACAAAAAATCTCGTGAACGTGATGTCGTTAATATTTTAAGAATTCGATGTACACCTAATGTTTCCAACAACTTCCATTTTTCACAAAGCGAAAAGATCGTCGCCATTGTGATAAAGCATAGAGCGAGGAACCCAAACACGGTGTGACCTTGTCACCCATACGCCAGCCTCGACTCCAGGGGCGCGTGCTCGTTCCTTACACTAACCCCTGGCTGTGATGATGACGTAAATGACACTGAATGGCTATTCACAGCGTACTGCGCGGGCATTTCGAAGATTGCACGCCGGGAGCGCCCATAATGCGCTCGCCGGCTGCGAATTTCTTATTAACACAATAGTACAGGGTGACAATTTTTCAGGCGACTTGAATCAAGGTTATAGGATTGTAGAGCGCCGCATAGCGGCGATCTACAACCCTGTAACCTTTTACCTACGCGCGCGCGCGTATACTCTCTCCACGTGTGTGAAAGTATATAATTTAGGAATTGCTTAGACTTGTGGTGTACTATAAAGGACACCTATCTGTCCATCGTGCCTGTGAGTAAAACCATCGTGCCTGTGAGTAAAACATCGTGCCTGTGAGTAAAAACATCGTGCCTGTGAGTAAAACATCGCGCCTGTGAGTAAAAACATCGTACCTGTGAGTAAAACATCGCGCCTGTGAGTAAAAACATCGTGCCTGTGAGCAGGTCCATCGTGCCTGTGAGTAAAACATCGCGCCTGTGAGTAAAAACATCGTGCCTGTGAGTAAAACATCGCGCCTGTCAGTAAAAACATAGTGCCTGTGAGTAAAACATCGCGCCTGTGAGTAAAAACATCGTGCCTGTGAGTAAAACATCGCGCCTGTCAGTAAAAACATAGTGCCTGTGAGTAAAACATCGCGCCTGTGAGTAAAAACATCGTGCCTGTGAGTAAAACATCGCGCCTGTGAGTAAAACATCGTGCCTGTGAGCAGGTCCATCGTGCCTGTGAGTAAAACATCGCGCCTGTGAGTAAAAACATCGTGCCTGTGAGTAAAACATCGCGCCTGTGAGTAAAAACATCGTGCCTGTGAGGAAAAACATCGCGCCTGTGAGTAAAACATCGCGCCTGTCAGTAAAAACATAGTGCCTGTGAGTAAAACATCGCGCCTGTGAGTAAAAACATCGTGCCTGTGAGTAAAACATCGCGCCTGTGAGTAAAACATCGTGCCTGTGAGCAGGTCCATCGTGCCTGTGAGTAAAACATCGCGCCTGTGAGTAAAAACATCGTGCCTGTGAGTAAAACATCGCGCCTGTGAGTAAAAACATTGTGCCTGTGAGTAAAAACATCGCGCCTGTGAGTAAAACATCGCGCCTGTGAGTAAAAACATCGTGCCTGTGAGTAAAACATCGCGTCTGTGAGTAAAAACATTGTGCCTGTGAGCAGGTCCATCGTGCCTGTGAGTAAAACATCACGCCTGTGAGTAAAAACATCGTGCCTGTGAGTAAAACATCGCGCCTGTGAGTAAAAACATCGTGCCTGTGAGTAAAACATCGTGCCTGTGAGTAAAAACATCGTGCCTGTGAGTAAAAACATCGTGCCTGTGAGTAAAACATCGCGCCTGTGAGTAAAAACATCGCGCCTGTGAGTAAAAACATCGTGCCTGTGAGTAAAACATCGCGCCTGTGAGTAAAAACATCGCGCCTGTGAGTAAAAACATCGTGCCTGTGAGTAAAAACATCGTGCCTGTGAGTAAAAACATCGTGCCTGTGAGTAAAACCATCGTGCCTGTGAGTAAA